ACGCGCACAGGGTAGCGTTCTCTTTGTTTAGATTAGGTCTAATGGCGTCTCGTCGGCGCTGTGATATCTCAAACGAGATATGGCCTTAAAGCCCCAGAGCGTCGGTATGCATTCTTATCAACTGCTCAATGTCGGGAGACTTGTTTTCCCTACGGGCTTGCAACAAAAGTTCGGTAGACATGAATGAAAGTGATCTTCGCAGTGATGTGCACTACTTAGGCAGTAGTGAAAATAAGGCCTGAAAAAAATTCAGGCCTGTACGGGATTTGAACCCATGACCTCTGCGATACCGGTGCAGCGCTCTACCAACTGAGCTAACAAGCCAACTGGGAGCTGGTCATGATGGTGGTTCTAAATAAACCCGTGAAGTGATGAATAGACGGTTAAGAATATATGAGTAATATAAAACGCATGGTCAGCATCCGACTCTGCGGAATCGCTGAGCGAATCATGGGAACCATTATTGGTCTTTCGACCTCGTTTGGCAGTCTGCCGGTTCGGGGGTCGGCGTTTCTCCTGAGCCGCGGAGTGATTCGCTTATGGCTTTCATCGTTTCGTTCATTGAAGTGAGCTGAGCCATTAGCTCTGCATTCTCACTCAACACCGTCGAACTCTTGCTTCCTGTCGCCATCCCTTCCAAGTTGTCTTCAACGGAAATATCTCCTTCTCTGAGAAGGTCGTCTTCTGAAGTGTTTTCCGCCATAAATTTAGGCTGCAGTCAGAGAATAAAAATTCCACAACTGAACGCTCTTAAAGCAGCGCTCGAACTGAATGCTCTAGTTTCGCGCGCTCTATCTCACATGACTTCGAGCGACTAAGACCAATGATGAAGTAGAATGAAAGATAGAGAGTATCATGAGGCAAATTTTGCAACTTTTGTTTCCAAAACTCTTACTTTTTTCCCTCAAAAAATGGGTGACCTTAATTTCAGACCGGCTCAGTACTGCATCAATAAAATATTTGAACTGACCAAGTCCTGTATTTGGGCAATTTCAAAATGGATGCAATAAAGTGGCAATTGAACCTCGTGTCGTGCCATTTTTGTCTGAAATCATACTTGTGATTTCAGCCCTGATAATATACATGAAAAAATTACTCAGTTCTGATTGGTTAAGATAAATGCAGTTTTCAGGTAATTCAGTGCAGAAGGGAGTTAATTCAGTGCAGAAGAGGGTTAATTCAGTGCAAAGAAAGTAACAAATCAGACATTCTGATTGGTCAATAATCAAAGAAACTCACAAACAGCCAATCAAATGCGAGCCTTGGATGTCGCAACAAAATTTGAAAATTTGAAAATTTGCGAGCGAAACAATGCATGGCCAGCGTTTTAGATTGGTTTTCTTTCGCCACCGCGGCTGAAAAACAGCTCAGACAACGAAGACACCGTAAAAAGCACTGCTTTTTAGTTGTCGGTTTGGAAAAAATGGTGTTTAGAGAAGGGAATTGCAAAAGAAATCGAAAATTACGAACCGACCCAGCTTAACACTTAGCTCGAGCGATCCAACGCCGAAATTAAAAACAAACATGGTTAAACCTCGGAAAAGACAATTCCATTTCATCGAAAGTGATTCGGACACAGACTGAACAACTCCTTGAACTGTTTAGCCGGACTTTGAACTTTTTTGCGCCTTAAAGATGTGACGATATCATTGCATATTATTGTTTTGATCGTACGCGGTTGTTATGACCGAACGCACCGTTTGAATAAATTATTTTTGCACGTACTGGGTGCGCTTTGCTTATGCTTAATTATGATAAGCTATCTCGTACGTATTCATGTTTATTATTAACAAGTAATCACACGATTTTTCTCGTGCAATTTGGAATAAATAAGCACTTGTTAATTTTTTCAAAGACCACAAATTGCACTCGCCCTACAGGCTCGTACAATTTTGTTAGTCTTTATAGAAATTTACTCGTGCTAATTGCACTCGAAATCATGTGATCACCTATACAAATTGCATTCCACTTAGTTTTTTTTGCATTTCACGTGTGTCGATATAGCCAATCAGCCTTTTTCTTGATAAAAAAATCGATGGTATCTATTATCAAAGGGATACGCCACAGTTTTAAGCGAGCGAATATTAATCATGCCGGTGCGATTCAAGGTTTAATTGTAAGTCGTGACTCGGTCAGCAAGAAAGGTAAACATACGACGTTACCTTTCCCAGCGAGGAAAAGAAAAAAAAGATACACTGTTACATTGCGTCTTTGTAGCATCGTATCTTAAAAGAAGATTTTAAAATATTCTTTATTCATTACTTTATTTATTTACCCGCTTCTTGAAATTTTCCAAACAAGCCAGCCAGAGCTCTTTCCCCATTGCGAGAAGCACTTCAAATTTCATTATCGAAAGGTTTCATATTAATAGATAGGTCAGAAATGTCGTCAAAGGAAAAACCATATGGACCGCAAGCACGTTTACTTTAGCATCGCATCTCTATTTTGCTGCGAAATTCTTCCTTCGAAACGAAGCTTCAATCGCAAATATTTCGTAAACGGGGCAACTTCCAATCGTAAAATTTTGCAAGTAAGCTTTTTCAACGATTATCTTTAACGTGTGAAAAATGAAATTATTGCGAAAAAAATATTTAGCCTCCAAGAATTCCTTAACTAATCGCGAGTTTTTTTTATGGTGAATCTACTTTCTTGATCACTGAATGAAGAACAGTTGAATTAGAGCAGTTAACGGAGTCACTTAACCAACGAAGAACTCTACCTTGTACAAAAGCCGGAAAGTAAAAGACAGTCGACCGTTTATAAGTTTTGGCGGGCCTGTGCGACTGCTGCCATTCGCGTTTAAGCTATGTAACCTCGATTTGTGACTGGTCAGATGAGTAATATAAAACGCAGTCGATGACTGCATGTGCCCAAGGTGGTATAGATGTAAAGTATATTGCAGTAAAAAGCAATGTGGTGTGAAATTCAGACATGTTTACTGAAAACTCTTATCGATGCCAAAATTGTGACGAAAGAGAGACTTGGTCAGAACTAAGTTTATGCACAGGTCAGTTGACAGTTGACAATTGACAGCCGGGAACAGGGTACAAATTAATAGAATAGCTACATGTGTTAGATGAGCGGCAAAAGTCGTTTTTAGAAAACCAAACTTTTCAACTTCGCACGCTCTGCGTTAATAGGTAACTTACATACAACTCCAAGGAAGGCTCTTGCAGTATCAGATACGTAGTTTGAAGCTTTGCAGGTATAATAACCTGAGTCTGCAGTTGAAGCATTCTTCACGACTAACTGGGACGAACCATTATGGGTGTTTATTTGGACATTGACATTGCTGGCATGAATCTCACTTTCACCCAAATCAGTCTGCTTCATCCACACAATGTTTGGCAAAGGAAAACCTTCAGCGTTACAGGTCAAACTTGCTTTAACACCCCTTAAAATGGACAGTGCAGGAGGGATAACCCCAACGACAAAAGCATCTCCTAAAAGTAAAACAAAAGGGTTAAAATAAAGGAATTCATCCAGCTTGCTTTCGATCCACATGTCCTTACAGTGAAAGTGAACGAGGTTTTTAATCATACAGTAATTTTAATACCGTGTTACAAGTGTGCAAACAAAAATGTATAAAAATACTGATAAGTAAAATGTTTAAGATTTTGTTCCTGAAACACTCAACTCACCCTCGCATATGCACAACCCTAGCATGCCATGCCAGTATGGTTCCTCGTGAAGGTGGCAAGTAATTTACGTGAATTCCTCATTTTTCTCAAAAAGATCACAGTTTCCAAGAAAAAGTTTGGTAACAAAAACATATTTTCAACTGAACTCTTTCACCCGCCAAAGTGTGAATAGCCAAATGTGATGTCACCCTAAATGAATCAGAAGAGATCTTTTGCAGCAAAACATCCTGGTTCTTAAATTATAATCGCAGAAACATCTGATTTAAGTTGCACAAGATAATCTTTGCTTTCTGTCTGCATATAGAACTAGACTGTGAGTGGTGAAGAGAGGAATACTAAGATGAAGGTAACAAAGACGCCTGGCACTAAGTGCACGAAATTAAAGAAAATTTGATGAGGACAGGCAATTAAAAATCATAAAAAAAGGTTGTGGTTATTCATCAATAGAGGTTTGTTTAATAGAACATAGCAAGAGGGCACTCAGTTGATCATTAAACAGGGGTATTCTAATCCATTTTGATGCGTTTCAAACCGTATATTTACATGACGTTCAAAATCCAATATGGCAGAAGATTGAAATAGTTCTTAGAATTTATGTGTTTTGATGTTCATGCTCGTGTCCAACTGTGACACTGTCCCTTAAATACAGGTTCCACAAAAGGTATTCTAAACAAATGATAAAAATGTCATTTTATGCCATAATTGACCACTTAATGTACAAAAAGTCATGCAATAATACTACCAAAATATTGATTTCAGGAGATTAATATGGATTAAATTTTATGTGAAACTTCATTCTTAGTTTAATTTGAGTGGTTCTGCTGTAAGTGACCATTCAACAAAGGTGGAAGACAATATAAATAGGCAGTTAGGACTCAGTCAAAGGTAACAATGACTGCTTAATAGAGGTGATTGCTTCATAGAGGTGAAAATTACTGTAATTAAGGGGAAAAATTTCAGGACTTTGACAACCAACCACTTAATAGGGTGCCACTTAATACAAGTTCGACTGAAATTGGAATACTGAAAACTCCCCACAAAGTTTTGAAGATCAACCCCCCAGTATTGAACTTGACTATAATTTTTACTTGTGTGGTCAGATTTGTTACCATGGCTCAAAGAAACATTGTCCTGTTTGCAATTAGATCAAGCTAAAACTGAACAATTTTAGCCAGATAACACATTCCATAACCTTTTCACTGATATATGCATTACGGTGGTAGTGCTTCAATAGGACTTCAATGATTTTGTTAGCGAAGGGCACCCACCAGGGCTTACTGTATCATGTCCCTAAAAGAGGTGGTTGCTAAAGCAGGTTTGGCTGAACTCTTATTGGGAATCAGTCAACAGAAGCAAGTAAGTCTCAGTTCCTATAGTTTTTTCCTTTCTTTTTTAAACAGCCATCAAAAATTGAAAACCCTCTTAACACCTTCTCTGCTCCAAAGACTGTGTTTTCATGCATTTAAGTTTTCCTATCACTTTCACTGTTAAGGAGGGAACTGTTGTAACAGCTCTCTTAGGGGCAAAGCCACCACATCCCTTTTCATGACAACACTTTTTTTGTTGCCCTGTGCATTGAAGTTATTTCCTTTCTGAATTGTTGAAATTCAATAGCATTACTTGCACATTCCAAAAGTTCATACTACCCTTCATAATGAAACAATTCACCACATATTAAAAATTCTTACCTTCCACAATTAATTGCACTATTTCAAACAGTTCTGGAGCCAAAAAGTTTTCTGGGACAAATTTGAAGATGAAAACCTGGTTATCAACTACTTTAATGGGATTTAGGGTAAACCTGACTTGACCAGGTGACTGTTGATTCCAGTAGCCAAAACGACGGCCATTGTACTGAGATATGTTAGGGGTGAGACGCCCATTTACATCAAGGATGAATAGAGTGACAGCTAGGGCATTTTTCCCCCTTTCTTTCGTTCCCCATTCAACTCTGCTTAAGTTACCAGTGTAGTTCCATGAGAAGTCAAAAGAGGAACCAAGTTTTACAGTCCTGCTTCCACTGTAAGATGATTCTAGCTGCACCTGACCTGCTGTTAATAAAGAGACAGGACATCAGGTCAAAAACTGCTGACCTTAATGAAGACTGATTTCTGCTAAAAAGATTTCAAATTTCTGCTGACTTTATTTCATTCTACACTCAAAGTAAAAAAAGTTTTCAGATCAATGAAATAATGTGATCAATTACCTAATGATGCAGTCTTTGACACTGAAAAGCACAGGACTCTTCTACAAACTGCTTACCATTATTATCTTTAGCAGAAAGGTCAAGAGCATCATTAAGGGCATCTGACCTGAAACACCTTATACTCCTTGAGGTTACTGGTAGGCACAAGTAGTGTGGAAGTACATGTACTTCGGACATACACGTGTCAGAAACATTGTGCCATTACCAAAAACAATATGCACTAAAAACGTTTACCAGAAGAGGGTAAATTTTACTCGAATGGACCAATCAGAGCGCTTTGTTTCCTTAGGTTTTCCGCCGGGTAAAGTTTACCCGACTTGAGTAAACTTTACCACTAGCAATTCGCGAAACAGAGCACTTATGTGGGCTGCATCGGCGCAGAATAATTATATCATTTCACTCGTAGCCTCCTAGAATCGAATGTCGCGATTTAGAGGTGAAACAAGGTAACACTGATCAGCTTTCGAATAGGATGGCGCGCCTTTGGATTCGTTGGGATTCGAAAAGTGACAAGGCTTTGTCGACAAAGTCATGTTCGTGTTAGCGTTACATCAAACATTGTTGACATGAAGGTGTTGTACTGAAAGGTAATTTAATTCTGAAGCAATCCTAGCGTAAGTTTGCGACCTCTTGGGCCGCATAACTTGCAAGTTCGCAATCGTTCATCGAGCCGCCATGACAATGTGCTCTATTACTTCCCTTTCCAAAATTCATTTTTCTATACAAAATGAAAACATTCGACATTTCGTATTGCAATGCAAGATGTGCAATGTTTCGCTCGCCTAAAACGTGACACGTGTAATCTGGAGACGTCTTGGTGCCACTTCAGTCACGCAGCAAAGAAAACATACGAGTTGAAATTATTCCTTCTTTCCTGAGAAAAAATTCGGTATTTGGTAGAGAAGTAGTTGTGTTTCAAGTCCTTATCACGTTCAGCAAAGATTTCTATACTGCAATACACGATAAATTATATGTTACTTGTGTTTCTGAGTTCCAAATGGCGAGATGTTATCATACGAAAACGTTTGTTTCTCTCATTGAATCCCAATTTTCAAGCTTTACGAAAAACTACAACGCTACACTAGGCCAAATCCTCCCTCCAGTAAAGTATGTTGTTATTCTCCCCGAGATAAATTTACCCGGAGTAAAGTAAACGCGGAGTGAAGTGAACGAGGGGTAAAGTCTACCAGGAGTGAAGTTTATTCGAAGAATTTTACCCGGAGTAAAGTTTACCATGAGTAAAGTTTACCCGATGTTAGTAAACGCGGAGTAAAGTTTTCCACGGGTAAAGTTTATTTGATAATGAAGAGGGAATAACTGCAGAATACCCTGCCACTTAGTGTACGCTCGTGTACCATTACTTCTCAAAAGGGCCTGTTTAATTGTACCAAACGGAGGCTTTTCCTTCATTTTATCGATAAATTTTATGGAACAAGTTTGCACACCCGCAAATCGGGCGTGTAATCTAATCAGCGGCGTTAGCAACGCAACTTACAAGAACGCGATCTCTCATCGAGCCGCCGTGACAATATCCTCCATTACTTCCCTTTCCAAAATTCATTTCCTTTATAATTTAAAAAAACGGTTAACATTTTAAATTATAATGTAAGATGTGCGGCGTTGCGCTCGCCTTAAACGTGGCACGTGTATTTTTAATAATCTTAGTGCCACGTAAGTTACGCACCAAAGAAAGTACTCTTTCTTTCCTGAATAAATATGACGCTTCGATTAGATTACCCGTCTGATTTACTGGTGCGCAAACTTTTCCCATAAAACTTATCGATAAAACGAAGGAAAGGCCTCCTTTTAGTACAATTAAACAGGTCCTTTTATGAAGTGATGGTACATGAGCGTAGATTACTTCAAATAAGTCTGATAAGTGTGCTCGCGAATTTCGTAAATAACAATGCTTGGCAAATATGGAAATTAAGATTTTCAGAAAGCAAATGGACCGCCCGAAAACATCAAATGGTTTTGCGATTACAACAGAAGTAAAATGTAGCCGCGCTCTTTAGAAGATTTGAGTTGAAAACCAGATGACCTTCAATTGGATGTCGCGGGAAAGCCACTAATCAGTATCGGGTAAACTTTGCTCGTGGTAAACTTTACACCGCGTTTACTTTACTCCGGGTAAACTTGACCCAGAGAGAATAACAATATACTTCACTCGGAGGGAGGATTTGGCCTAGTGAAGCGTTGGAGTTCTTCGGAGAGCTTGAAAATTGGGGATTTGATGGATGAAACAAACGTTTTCGTATAATAATTTTCTTGCCATTTGGAACTGAAAAACAACGAACGTGTAATTGATCATGTATTGCGATATAGAAATCCTTGCTGAACGTGATAAAGACCTGAAACACAACCACTTCTCTACCAAATACCGAATTGTTTCTCATGAAAGAAGGAGTAACTTCAACTCGTATACGTTTTCGTTGCTGCGTGACTGAAGTGGCGCCAAGATGTATAGAGATTACACGTGTCACGTTTTTGGCGAGCGAAACGCTGCAAATCTTACATTACAATTCGAAATGTCGAATGTTTTTATTTTGTAAAGAAAAATGAATTTTGGAAAGGGAAGTAATGGAGCACATTGTCATGGCGGCTCAATGAGTGATCGCGAACTTATAAGCCATGCGGCCGAGAGGTCGCTTACGTACGCCGGGATTGCTACAGGATTAAATTACACGCCTGACTTACTGGAGTGCAAACTTGTCACCTAAAACACCTTCATGTCGCGCTAAAACAAACATGACTTTGCTAACAAAGCTGTGTCTCTATCGAATCTCAACGAATCCAAAAGCGCGCCATTCTATTTGTAAGTTGATAGGTTTTGCACCTCATTTCACCACTAAACCACAAAATTCGATTCTAGTAAGCCACAATTAAAAGAATGTACCGTAATTTCCGGCCGTTTACCAGCGGGTAATCTGTTGATTTTGCATTAAACGCGCGCCACTGCGGGTAATAGGGAGGTGTGGGTTATGTGACAATTTTAAAATATACTGGTGGTTGAATTGAAAAAAATTCTCACCTACATGCGTTTCCACCTCTCAAATGAATTTTATTGTATTAAAAGTGCCACAAAGCGGCACGAAAACATGATGCCGACGCAAATTTATTTCACGAATTAGTTGCGTGACGAACAAATTGTTATCGGCACGCGTGAAAACAAAACCTCGATGGTGACAAAAATAATCCAAAGATATCCGGCGCATCAGTAACAAATTTCCATTTATCACTACCTTGAGCTAAAGATAATTTCCCGCTTTAAGGAAACTTATTAGGCCCAATAGAACCGGAGATATCGATTTTTTTTAAGGAAATCGCCGAAAGTACTTTATAATTCAAGTTTTAGCACTCACTCAGCTTTCTTTCAACAAATCAACATGGCGCTGAACGATCGCTCGCACAAAATATGGCCACAAATTCGCATTCTGTCAAGAATGAAACGTTGAGATTTCGCCATGAGCCGCTAGTGCTTTTACTGAATAATTTTATCAATAAAGTACATGCTAATATTGGCACAGAATTGTATTTCATTGACCTTGAAACTCGAAAAAGAAGCTTTCAAGTTTTCGAAAGTTAGATCAGACAACTTTTAAAAGACTGAAATACATCACCTTAATGTCACGTTTTCGCCACCAAAAAGTTGAATATTATCCACCAGTGCGGGTAATCTGTTGACTTTTTTTTTCGCCGTATGCAATAATCGGCCGGTGCGGGTAATTGGCCGTGCGGTAATTATTCTGCGCCAATGCAGCTGACGTAAGTGCTCTATTTCGCGAATTACCAGTGGTAAAGTTTACTCCAGTCGGGTAAACTTTACCCGGCGGGAAACCTAAGGAAACAAAGCGCTCTGATTGATCCATTCGGGTAAAATTTACCCTCTTCTGGTAAACGTTTTTAGTGCATATTGTCTTTGGTAAGGCACCATGTTTCCGACAGGTGTAAACCTGTTCTAGATGAGGATTCAGACGCAAACTTGAGACTACCAGTGGATTTATGATTTTCAAGGAAGATGTCCCTGTCTCCATCTAAGATTATAATAATTTTTGGTAAACCATTAAGCTGAGAAAATTTGGTTCATCACATAACCATATTACCAACTGCATACAAGGTGCTTCTTTTCACATGTATAAACAGCTTCAATGGGGGCAAGCCAATATTACATGGTTGCTTTTTTTCTGCTGAAGTTTTGGCACAATGCACATAGCACCTAACACCTGCACATAGCTGAGGAGACTCTGGGTTCGAGATAAATTTGGTTTTGCAACTAGAAAAATCATATGCATTTGTGCTGGTAAACATATGAGCCACCCAATGATGTGCAGTAACTCAAATGTGGTGTCCCAGCATAGTTCCCTGAAAGTACATAGTTAGGCATGATGCGAGGCTTCATGCAGACTAGTTGGACAGGAAGTCATACTGATAATCTGTGGTTGAAAACAGTTTTTCAGGAATTTGTGATTTCTTATCATCTTACAAAGCAACCATATTTATGGTAAAAGCTATGTCAAGGGGAGGAAATTATGTTAATTTAAGTTTTGTAAAGTATAGGTTGTAAGGGAAAGTTTGTTGCAGCTTAGCACACTTCTGTTTTCTAGCTAATAAGATACATGAAAAATGACTCAGTTCTGATTGGTTAAGATAAATCCAGTTTTCAGGTAATTCAATGCAGAAGAAGATTAATTCAGTGCAAAGAAGTGACAATCCAGACTGAACAATTCCTTGAACTATTTAGCTGGACTTTGAACTTTTTTGCACCTTAAAGATGCGAAAATATCATTGTAGATTATTGTTTTGATTGTACCTGGTTGTTTTGAACCAATGCACAATGTCACTTGCAGGGTTTTAATAAATTATTTTTGCACTTGAGGCACACGTTTTCCTTCTGTATAATTATGAAGGCTATCTTGCATTTTTTCATGTACATTATTACTATGAAATCACATGATTTTTCTCATGCAATTTGGAATAAATAAGCACTTGTAAATTTTTTCAGACCACAAATTGCACTTGCCCTACAGGCTTGTGTAATTTTGTTAGTCCTTGAGGAAATTTACTTGTGCTTATATATTCCAAATTGCACTCAAAATAATGTGATTACTTGTACAAATCAAGACGTCACTTGTTATAAATAAACCAATGATTGGGTGATTGAAACCGAGCAACGTCAGAATTACAAATCAACCCTTCTACCCCAAGATCTCATTAGTAATTCACCTTACTGTCTGCCATACAATTCTTGTGATTTTCATATTGGATCAACTTATCATCCCCTGACTGATATTTTTCTTAATTCTCATCCCTTGACTGCTTAATATTATATTGATATTGTAAGGAGAAATTCTGTCTTAGTCACTTGTGGGAGTTAAGGGGTTAAAGCTTACCATACAGTGAAAGAAGATTACTTGATAGAAAAAAAGATGCCCTTCGCACTTGCTTCTCTCTTCGCCTGTAAAAGGCCAAAAAAATTACTCCTGTTCTACACGCTTACCGTCGGTCGGTATATCGACCACGTCTCGATCAATAGTCAATGAGTTTCTTGACCTACTAACGACCAATGCGTCGAACGATACATCGGTAGACACCACCTGGAGTTCACATGATCTACGAAAACTACGACGGCGATGGCAACGTGAGGGTGGCGAAATAAAAGATTTCATGAGCTCGTTTGTTTTACCACTATGTACGTTTCCTGGCCTTCCTTAGCAAAACAAGAACGTGAAATCGCTCAACTATGCGGAAAAGGAAACCCCAATAACTAATTATTCACGTTTTCTGACTTCGAATTGTAGACCGCATTCCCATGCGATGCTGAAGGGAAAATCTGGCACCGTTAGCGACAGTGAAGATGTCGAGCCCCTCGTAACTTACTTAAGAGAAACGAAAGTTAATTTTGAAAGCGATGTTTAACCAAGCCTCGCCGTCTTAACACCTTGAACTCCCTAATATCGAGGCTATAAAGCACACTCTAATTAAAATGTGACTCTTATAAAGAAATCTCACCGATAAGTCCGCCATTAATGGTGAATGAGACCGAAAGAGCACACAAATACAAGGTGCTAAATCCCAACATGTTCAAGTCTCTAGATCTGGGGTGGATCACAAGCTGACGACGAATTTTGTCCTCTTAAACGAGCGTATAGCCCACTTTGGAAAAGAGCGGTAGCCTGGAACCGAAGTCGCCACGCAAGCGCTTATGGGATTGTTTGGGGGGACGCTCAAGTCGGCCATCTTGAATTATGCCCAAGCACGTAAGTTGTTGTGTTCCTTTGTGCACCAATAATTTCAGAAACTCCTTCGGATTGCCGTTTTATCGAATTCCAAAAGATGAAAGTATTCGCAGAGAATATGTCCGTTTACTAAGAAATGATAATTTGAAGATAGAGTCCGACAGTACACGCGTTTGCTCTGCGCATTGGACTGGAGGTAGTAAGCTCAGCAGAACTCACCTTCCATCGATATTTCCTTGGAGCAAGAAGGAAAAGGAGCGACGGATTTTGTCCAGAACGGAAGCGACTGCAAATACAGCAAGCAAGAAAAGAAAAGTGGACGTGGGATCTTCTACCGAAATTGACGAAGGGACTCTTATTGAAATTGATCACGAGGAGTCCATTCCGGCCTCTTTTTGCGATGCAGCGACACAAACTGAAATGACTGTAGAAATGCTGGATCGAATGGAAGCTGAACTTAAAGAGATGAGAGAGGAAAAGGAAAGGTTGGCAAGGGAGAGAGACGAGTTATCAAGGGAGTTAAAGAGACTTCAGCATGTAACGAAAAATCAGAAATTTGACATTGTAAAATTTAAGGACAGCCCTGAAGATGTCGAATTTTACACAGGCCTTCCCCACTGGGATGCACTTATGCTCCTTTATGACCTGGTCAGTCAGAAGGCTCAGAACCTGAACTATGGCAGTTACGAAAAGAAAGACAGTGGTTCAGAGCAAAAGCTTGGAAGGCCCAGAGCATTGACTTTATTTGAAGAGTTTGTTCTGACTTTAATGAGACTTAGGCTTGGCTTGTTTCAAAAGGATCTTGCACACAGATTTCATGTTTCTGAAACTACTGTTCCTGTTGTGTTTAACACTTGGATTCGGTTTATGAGGATTGAACTGGAGCCTTTAATTTGCCTCCCCAGGAGAGAGCTTCTACATCAGTTCATGCCAAACATTTTCAAGGAATTTTATCCAAGGACAGTTCTAATTATTGATGCTGTTGAAATTCGAGCAGAGAGCCCCTCATCACTTGACATGCAGTCAGTGTGTTATTCCTCGTATAAAGGAACAACAACTATGAAAGGACTAGTTGGTCTTTTGCCCACTGGAGCCCTGGGATTTTTAAGCGAGCATTACACTAGTAGCATAAGTGACAAGGAGCTTACCAAAATGTCTCATGTGATTGACTACTTGCATCCTGGGGACGATGTCATGGCAGACAAAGGCTTTGACATACAAGATGACTTTGCTGCAAAAGGGGTTACTGTAAACATACCTTCTTTTCTTAAAGGAAAAACTCAGTTCAGCAGAGAAGAAATGGCACACAACAAAAAAATTGCTAGCCTGAGAATACATGTTGAGAGATGTATTGAAAGGATGAAAAACTGGCATATTTTTGACAGCAGAATTCCTTTAACATTGGCTCCTATTGCTAGTGACATGTTTATAATCATAGGGGCACTTACAAACTTTTTACCACCTCTCATTGATTAAAGTGTAATGCATGATTCCAGAAATGTCCATACTTCCCCATAGGAGGGGTTTTTCATTTAAACCCTTCCAACCCCCGCTGCCTCCCCCCCCCCCCGGAATTTCTAGTTTGCCTTCATACTTTCCCTAATAAACTTTGGCTGTTGGGTCCCCCTCCCCTCAGATTTTCGAAGCCCTTTCATTGGGTGAGTATGGACTTTCTGGAACCATACAACAATTTTTCACTTTCTACTTGTACATAAAGCAATGTTTTTCTCCAAGCAGATAGTGGAATCTTATTTAATAACCTTTCTTGATTTGCCTCATCTTCAATAATATGCAAGATTGTTCACTCAGACTTTGATTATTATGTATTATAATCTGTGTATTTGAGCTCCTTCTGTTAAAAAAAGCCATACACACAAAGTAAATTACACACGTTAAATTTCTTGGGGATATTATTTTAGATTTAAGGTTCAGCCTTGTTTACATGGAGTGAGTTTTATCTTATTAATGCCTTTCATAGAACTTTCCCGAATTCAACCTAAGTGATTACGAACAATGATTTCAAGTCAATTCTGGCGCAGACAAAATTATTGTAAATTTACCAAACCACATGAAAATTGTTCACCCCAACCTTGAATTAAAATCATTATTCGTGGGCATCGAAGGCCAATGTAGGAAAGTAAGTTCAACAACATACCAGTTTAGCAAATTAATTATGTACGTCAGTCAACATCCTCTCATGTCAAATCTTGAAAGGCCATATTTAACACGCGGATAAGCAAGTTCTACAAGAATGTGCTCATTGTAAAATGCCTCCAGTTTTGGGAGCACTGAACTCCAGAATTTACGATCAAAGTTTACTGTCGAAATGAAAACACCTTCAATGTCTACAAATGATCTGTCTGTAAGCTCTTTAACTCCCTTAATCACCAGATCCACCCATGATTTCTCTGTAACAAACAACTGTTGCTGGACTTGATAGTGATACTTGTGTTTCTGGTTGATAACCAGCTGTCCATCAGTTGAACCAGGAAGAAAGATTCTTTTTCTGATAAGTCCATCATGCAAAGTCTCATTCTCCTTTAGGAAGACAAGTTTTATTTCAATAAGTCCACTGGAACTTGGCTCAGTGGAGTCGGCATTGTATACTAAGCCATCTGGAGATGCAGCCAAGAAATTATGTGATTTGCTGATGAAAAGTCCACATGGTTTCACTAGGACATTTTGATTGTTCAGTTTCCTTGATTTGATGTATTCTGCAATAACAGCACCTTCTCTTGACAAGCCCTCTTTCATATAAATTGTATGAGGGATCTGCTTGTAATGTAAGACTTCACTAATGGCCTTTGTAGGGGAGGTAGTTGCTTGCAGAGTGGCAATTCGATGGCATTTAGATGCAGTTATTCTTATTTTTCGATGCAGATTCCAGTTTTCATTTACTGATTGGCCCATGGTTTCTTTTTCAATTTGATCAACATCCTTTTCATCAGCAAAGAGCCTTTTCTTAACTTTTATGCACCTTTCCTTTATTTCTTCCAAACTCACTGGATGGCATTTCACTGGTGATAACAGTTCAGTTGACACTGGACTACCATTTCCTTGTTCTGGTTCAACTGGTTCAATGTGAGTCAAGGGTGTGCAGTAATTATGTTCAACCAAAATCGTTTATTTATTTTCCTCCAAAGTTTTCTGCGGTAAAATGAGACTTAAGGCCATTTTCTTGCCTGTCTTATTCTCAATCTCCTTGACATGGTGCAATAAATTATACATGTCAGTGTTTGTATTCGGGTACTGCTGGTGTGGTGCTCTAACATCCCTTGTTGATGGAGGAGATTTATCCTCACTCTTGCTTAGTTTGCCATGTTGATGTTTTTTAAATTTGGCTTTGGCAATTGGCAGATTGTCAATCTTTCTTTTTCTTGGGACATTCCATGCACATGGCTTTGAAGTGCAAGAAAGTGCAGGGGTTAAGGAAGGATTTACAGGTGCTTTACTTTGTTTGAAGAACTCCTCCAGTGCAAATAGTGTTGAAGTTACCTGGTTGCAACGCCCGTCAACTCCAGCTGGGCAACCATCACACTGCCATCTTTGTTGAAAACAATGAAGCAATTATACAACACTGTCTTCATTGATGGAAGAACTTGACTTTTAACATAAAACTTTCCGTCAGATTCCCTGCATTTAATGCTAAGGACATGGCCAGATTTAAAAAAATTGTATCCCTTGACAAGAGGTTTTGCTGTGGATAATTGCTTCTTAGCATCACTCTCTTCAATCATGTACCTCCATATTGTACCAAATGATATAGCAGGTAAAATATTCAAATCCTCCGTAATGTAAAGCACAGGGGGCAATAATAAGAGTTCTCGAATAATTTCAAAGCTTTCTTACCTTTGAACAAGCTGCATTTTCTTTCCAGTTGTTTTAGCTCCACGGCAAAGAAGCCATCGCTGCAGCTGTTTCACGGTGCATTCTTCTGGTATTTCCCGAGGTAAAATTGCTCCTGGTACATCTTCTTCTCTTAGCTTTACGCTGTCAGATTTGTTTCTTTCGATAACTTCGACCTTATCGCTATTTTGCTCTGTTAAAACCTTGCTGTCACTACTACATTCCGCGCTAAATTCCGCCATGTTTTTGTTTTACTTACGTCCCCCCAAACAGTCCCATAAGCGCTTGCGCGGCGACTTCGGTTCCAGGCTACCGCTCTTTTCCAAAGTGGGCTATACTGCTCATAGTGACATCAAATCTGTTAGACATAGCATGTATTACTTCCGAGTTTGATACTAACCAAACAAACACCAAAACCTGCAGCCCTCCCAAAAGTGTTTCCCTGAGGCACTAATCCTGTGGTCCCTATTTCTCAGCAGAGAACCTCCATGGAGGCTCTTGACAACCTGAAGTGACTACTGAATTCGTCCATGGAAGACAGTGGTACAATATTTTTGCAGAAACCTTCGCTGTGATGATGATCACGTCGCATAAACACTGAGATCACTCCAATGGTGTTAATTTCATCTTCTCTATTGGAATTTATGAGCATCTCTCTATCAGCCAATAAAACTAAAATTTCCTCTAGCATCAACACTTGAGCTGCCATGTTGTAACTAGAATCCAGTCTAGTGCAGTACAACAATCCAGAAATTTTAGGCAAATGGTAAACAACCCGTGCTGTTTTTACTAAATGAAGCCTAAGGCAAGGAAGCATATACATTCGACCAGCGCATGATATCTCTGGCAACCTTGCTAGCAACATTGACAGTCCTCCCCAGAGTCCAGACCCAGTTCAAGTGGAAGTTGCTGTTGACGAAGCATATAGTGGTCCTTCAAATGCTTCATACCTTTCCGTCACTGGCCCATCAAGCAGTGCAACAGCATCTAGCAGTGCAATACATGTAAACCAGGAAGAGTTAGACCAATTAAGAGAGATGTTTCCAGAAAAAAGCAGCAGCTTGCTGCAACGTGCCTTAACCTGCCATGGGAGTGTTAGTCGTGCTGCTCTTTCCCTCTCCTCCCAAAATCTTCCTGATGAAATTGACTCAGATGAGGATGCTGATGCAGAACTTTTAAAGCCTGCTTTTCCAGCTAAAGCTGATTCCTTGGAGGCAGTGTTGAAGGAGCATCAGAAAGGTTTGAGTACACAGAAACAAAAGCTCAGAGTTGATGAAGGAGATATCTTTAGTGATGCCATGGTATACTATAAAGATCCCAGCTTTGATCCTAGCAAGCCCTTACGAGTCCTTTACACAGGGAAGCCTGCTGTGGACACAGGAGGAGTAACCAGACACTTTTTTAGCCAACTTCTCCAAGTCATATGTAACATGTTCTTCCATGGTGACAGTTACAAGCATCCTGTTTACAATGCTGATATTGTTGCTTCTGGTATGATGAAATACATTGGGACAATTATAGTGCACAGCATTTTGCAAGGCGGGCCAGGGTTTCCAGTCTTTAGCCCTTCAGTGTATCAGTACATAGCAACAGGTGATGTTGACGCGGCAATGATGATGCTGAATTATGGAGACTGTTCTGCATCTTTGAAAGATTTCATTGACAAGGTATTGTATAAATGTACAGTTAAATGATGTGCTCAAATGTAACAGCATACTTGCCATTTTTAACTCGTGAATTGCGCGCATGCGCAAGAGCGAGTTATAGATACGATGTGGGGAATGGCATTCGCTCACTCGCTCGCTCGATTGGTCGATTCCTGTAAACTTTTTTTAGATTTTAGGCTTTTGAGTGCATTTGATAGTTTTTGGCGAGCAATAAACAGACGAAATGGCGAGCTTTGTTGCTAAGAATAGTGGTGGGGTGAAAAAGAAGCCAATGATAATCTTAAAAGAGTTTTTTTTTTTTCGTTTTAGTTTCAACTAGCGGCGCCAGCGACTGGCAGGCATGCAAGGATTCACACTGAAATAACAGAACAACCTTCGTTTTTCATAAAATTGTAATTTACAATCCTTCAACTTGAAAACAATCCGAAGATTCATTGAAAATATCACTTACTGCGAAGCGCTCGGAGTTTACAGATGTTCAAAAGCTTTTTCTGTTATAGTGTGAGGACAAAATTGATCATTACGTTTCATCGCGTGTGTTTTTCCTGTGTGAAGCAACACAAGATGCCGGCGACTGACGAAATAACAAGTTAACACGAAAATCAAATAACACCTAAACAAACAATTTTAGCTACCGATTTTCAGAGGATTTTTGAAAGAACAATTTTCTTTTAAGTTTCAAGACAATTTGAAGATTCAACATACATACAACGTACTAAAATGCGAAAGTTACACACCACAAAATTGATAAATAGACCTGAAATGAAATTCTATCTTGTTATTGATTATACGTTGCCTAGCACGTGACTTAAATCTACCCAGGCGGAGATCCAAAATGACGGTGGCAGGCTTGGCTCAGTTATATCACTCAAACCTCGTTCCCGTTTGTCTCATTTGATAAAGAGGGAATCGCTAATGTTTTCATTAAGACAGTATTGCCTTGATTTTCTAATATTTACAACGAAAGACAGTAAATTTCACTTTTCACCCACATTTACTTCCAAACTTTTCTTTTGAAACAAAAATGATAGACATTTAAAACACATGACATCATCCACCTTGTCAAATGTAATAGCATGATCATTTCAATTGTAATGCCTTCTTATCCCAACGTTACTTTGTTTCTTTGCTACATTAGCGAACACTGAACTACTGCTCGTACTCTAGATATGGCAATCAACCACAAAATTCCCTAAACCAGATAACATTAAACATAATCTAAAAAATCATGTGTCAATTCACGAGTTTGCTCACAGAGCACTTTGATTAGTTCACTGTACGCGATGAATAAATCATTATATTTGGTCGAATGTAAAAACAAACTTAAAAATTCTCTTTTCATGACTTTCTGCTCAGCCATATGTACCAGATTGATTCTCCTACATTAACAAAATTCCAAATAATTTCTGATCCAACTACTGATGTGTCAACAGCTTCTACTGAGGTATAGCACATAAATAGAACAAATGTGCTTGACATCCTAGCGGCTATATTCATGTATCATAATCTACATGCAGCAACCTGAGTCCCACAGGACCATAAGTGCACAGATGTATGTTCAACAGATTGACATGCATGTCCTAACAGAAATGCAAGGATTGACCCATAGTTTCTATCAACTTACAGGTTGCTCAGGCCAAAGATGTTATTTTCTGCTTGATATCAAAATCAACAATACAACAACTACTGTACAGTGAACAAAACTAAAGCAAATGACCTCCAATTTCACTGTTACATGACCTAAATGCCAACCAGGACACAGCCAGGATTTGGACTATGACAGCCTTTATTACAACATGTAAATAGGTAATCACTCAAATATAGGTACAATATTAAAATGAAACAGGTAATAAGACTAGTTACACTCAAATGGAATCAACAAATGTATACATAAGTTGTAAAAACAGCAAGTCTGTCAGACATAAAGGAAATGAATATACTACCAAAAACTACCCAGGGTGGGTAGGGTGGGAAAACTAGTAAATGCAGCTACTAAAGACTGTTTACTAGCCAAGCTATATTTTACTAAGGTAAAGGCTGTCTTAGTCCCAGTACCCCCCATATTTGATATTTACAAGAGCATCACAACCCTGATGCCAACCCTTTAAAATCAGAACTCATCAGACCGGTTTGCAAACTGTTTCTGTAATGAATCAAGGAATACAAAGATGGCGAAATCTTTTGATTTTAATGGATAACTAACATTAAAATTGGTATGCACCTAAATGAATAGAAGGAAACATTAAACATCAATGCTGTGACATATGCAAGTTATTTCCTTACCCGAACTCACGTGCTACAGCTACACATTGGACATGACAAATGAGAAGCCAGAATGCTTTCTATTTCTTGTAGTTAAATTTGCGGATGACACTGAGCAAGTTGTTATCAGTAATGATATGGTTACATTGAAATATATTTTTACATTGAAAGTTGATTTCAGTAAACCTAGAGGGAAAGTTTTTTACACTCAGCTCATAAAATGGCCAGTTGCTTAATCTCTAGGTCCCCTGCCCCTCTTCAAACCCAAACTTAAAGCATCTCATTAACAACACCCACAAGCTCAACATATTTAGAGATTCGTTCACTCCTTGTTAGGTTTGTGGGTACTAGGGAGTGAAGGTAATCCAGCTGATCTTCACTCAAAGGTATGTTACTGCTGGGAACAATCACCTCTCGATCCTCTTCTGAAACAGAAATGGCATCCTCTTCATCTACCCCATACCAAATTAATTCTTCCTCTGATAAAATACCATCCAGAGGTGAGTTCCTGCCATTTGCAGATCTTAGAATACCCTCAGTCCAAAGCTGAAGAGGAGATGAACCACCCTCTGTGCTAAGGCCATGGTAATTCCACTGCCTGGTAAATTCATCCAGAGATTTCTTAATTTCCTGCAGAAATACAAGGTGAAGTGACAGTAAATGGACTTCATTGATAGGGTCTAATAGACCAGATCTTTCCATCATGTTGAACTCATCTATATAGCTTCTAAGAACACCACTGGTCACATCTCTATGAAGCCGTTCGACCCTTTGATTGTGCACTGAACTTCCAGTTATCATGCTCCCTCTGTTGACTCCCCGACACTCCAACATCATTCGGGCTACACCCATGTTTTCGAGACCATGGTCACTCCTAACCCTTGATGGCATTCCATAACTTTGGCAGGCATTCTGAAATAGTGCAAGTACTGTATCGGATCTGTTGTTGTTTGCATAGTGCAGATATGGTATCAACCTAGAATATCCATCAATAGCAGTATGTACCACAAGCCGCCAGCATATCATCTTATGGTTCCCATCGATGTGCCACAGTGCATTTGGACCTTGTACATTGTACTTTCTTCGACAAATAGTTCCTCTCCACCGAAGTGCTGTTCCAACTGGATCCAACTCACGCATAAGTTCCCTGACTTTCCATCACTGCACTCTTATTCCCCTGCTATGTAATGCACCTATCATTCTGGTTTGACCAATCCCAGGGGTAACAGACATTATTTCTTGCATGATTTCTCTTAGTTCTCCATTCCTAAGTGAAGACCAGTTAACCTCCCCTTCGTCCTCAATTTGAAACTCTTGTCGTCTTCTAGTTAGAGTTTTTGTGGAAATTCCGAGTAGTTCCGCAATTCTGACCCAAGGAAAGTGCAACTCTCGAAGAAATTGTATTTGCCTTTTAGAAACTTTAAATTTTGGCTGACTTCTTGTACCTGTGTAGTTCCTTTCGCATTGGTGAGCTGGCACATTCAATGTGCTTTCACTTAAATCATCTGCGATATTCTCAAAATATACTCGGAGTCTTGTCAAGTATAAGGACAGCTGATCCATGTTGCTATAAAAGTTTCCCATTTCCAAATCACGATCCGCGCTAGTGAGTTCGGCAGCCCTCTCTTTCAAAATAAAAACAGTTTCTCCAGCCTCAGACAGCCTTTCGTGTAACATTTCTATTTCATCTATGTTTTCAATAGATGGAATATAGAAATGTATTGTTCTGCTTCTGCAAGAAGTGCTTTTGTCCTTTGAAAAAAGGATATAAGTCGATTCTCTGATCCCGCTATACCACCAAGGGCCGCCATTTTGGTTTACCGCCAGTGGCCGATAGGGATCTGGGTAGCGGCATTGCTTAAAGCGCGCGGTGCATCATACCATACGAAATGAAAAGTTGAGCATGCTAATTTTTTTCAGAGAACACTGCAAATTTAGGGGTTGAAAACAGGCTGTATTTATTTATTGCGGGCTATTTATCTGGAGTTTAGCACGATTATATGACAATGGCCATATAGAACAGAAGTAGATACACCATATTTATTTGGAGTTTAGCATGTTTATATGACAATGAGCATATCAAACTGGAGTTTAGCACATATATCAAAGGTTTGCAATAATGTCCAGTATGACGCGCCATACATAACTGAGCTTATTATATAATTGGGAGTTACTACATCACGGGCGACGAGTGGATGAAGAAAAGGCCGAAATATTAGTGGCCAGCAGGGAAACAAATTTAGTACTTCATATAGAGACATACAGTTATAGTTGCGGAAAACAATAGTGTTGTAAAGCCGAAATATCAACAGTATACTTCGCTAAATAAAATGTTAAGCAATTTTTCAAAAGTGTTAATGGCACATATATCTTTTACTGCTGTAATAAATAATAGAGGCATCGGAAAAGGCATCGGTGGCATCCGGAAAGGCACCAAGAAGAATTATATTTACGTTTTGTAAATTGCTGCGTGATGAAAAAAGAAAACCAAAACCGTGGTCCCCAAATGAATTCTCCCACCTTGCCCCAAAAAATTTTCAAATTTTCCATAACTTCACCTTTTCCTATTCGTAGGTCCGGCCAAGCCTTTGTGGTCATTGGCTCCCGTATAGCCACTAACTATGGCTTATAAATACAGGTTTTTAGTGTTAAATTGTAAAACTCCCCGAAGAAGTCTACGACAGTTTAACGAAACGCGTCGGAGAATAAAGAAATTTTACAGCTACCGTTCGTAGAGTGCTGCTCACCAGTTAAGTTTTAAAGATTTTTTTTTAAAATTTGGTGCGATAGCTGTGGTCAGTTTTTCCATGCAGGTTGTCTGGATGTACATCTCGCAGAGACGTGGGGGGGACAGAGACACCAACACAAAATTTCACCTGCCGTTCGCTTCGAAAATTAAGTTTTCATCCCGAGTTCATTTGTTAAATAAAATAGGAAAAAAAACACTTCGAACGGAAAACAGAATTATTTTAACGCCTGGATCTTCTGAAAAAAGGTCTCCTAAACGAGTGGCCCTGATTATAAATATTTAAGCATGGTAAACACATTAGCCTTAACTTGGCTGTTTCTCGAAGATCAGTGTTTTCCTACATGCCTTTTTCACGTGAAATGAGGTGATTAAATATATATAATAAACACTAAAAGAACTGCAGCTGATGGAAATTTTAAATTTCTTATTCAAAGGCTGTGGAAACAAACTTATTAATGACTCTAAAAATAGAGAGTTACTTAGCTTTTCAGTTTTCCGGAATCGAAAGTCGAGATTGCAAAATTCGAGTGAAAAGCAAACCGACTGTGATTTACGCCGTAAACAAGTCAAGATACTTTTTTCCGTCATACAATAAGTTACATATCGTAAATATCATTCTTCTTGATGCCCCTCCCGGTGTCACCGCTGCCTTTCCCGATGCCTCCGTTGGTTAATATAGCAGTAAAAATATTTTTGCAGTCAAAGCGTTTGGAAAATTTCTTAACTTTTGAATTAGCGAGGTATAACCTGGTAACATTTTGGCTTTACAATACGATTGTTTTTTGCAAGTTACAAAACGTAAATATAATTCTTCTTGGTGCCTTTCCGAATGTCTCCGATGCCTTTCCCGATACCTCCATTGTTTAATACAGCAGTAAAAGATATATGTGCCATCAACACTTTTGAAAAATTGCTTCACATTTTATTTAGCGAAGTATACTGGTTAACATTTCGGCTTTAGAACTCTATTGTTTTCTGCAACTACAACTGATATGTCTCCATATGAAGTATTAAATTTGTTTCTCCGCTGACCACTTGTATTTCGGTCATTTCTTCATCCCCCGCTCGTCGCCCGTGATGTAGTAACTCCCGGTCTAATTGCAGGATGGGCCCAAGGGGTTGACTACGAAGAGATTTATTAATTAAGCGATGGGTTTGTGCAGTAGGAAAGTTTTTGCTTGGTTCCAAGAAGTAGCTGTTTTGTTTTCTTTGCGTTTGGGACCATCTTGTTTAGCGAGAACCAGTGGTTCGCTTTGTTGAGACTTCCTGAAGTCCGTGTTGGATATGCAAAGGATTAGAATTAGCCATCCATAATGTAGTGTCATCGGCGTAAATATCCACATTGCGATCAGGTATTGCAAGTGGATGGTCATTGATATATATCAAGAAAAGGATGGGACCCAAAATAGAACCCTGTGGAACGCCTCGAGTAATTGATAGTGCTTCAGACAATGATTTATTGATACAACATCTCCGCTGATAACGAGCCCTGTTGCATTGAAGTGGACCGAAAAGTTCAAATACAACGGAATTCGAGCGACAAGAAACCTCCGACCACGTGCGTGCATAGAGACATAAGAACCACGCATTCCACTACGCCACTTCTCTTGAGATAAGGCAGAGGTATCTTCTTGCTCGGAAAGAACTATTCCGGAGGTTAGATGACCAAAGAATACATTTTTGCGCCACATAATAAGAAGAAAACTGAGTAAAATGGCGGAGCTCAGGAAAACACGTCCGACCCTCATGACCGCTGTATTTTGAACCCACCTGTATTTTGAACTAATTGGATACTTGGACCGCAAATGTTGATAAAGGAGTAAAAAAAAAGAGGAGTAACAAATGTCATGCACTCTTAAACCTCGTTTTCACGCTGAGGAAGGGATGACGTAGCAAAACCCCTCTTTTTCTGGATCGTATACCACTTTTCGACTTTACGACGTATCGAGCCTTACTCAGGAGGTATTGGTCTGATAAAATCCACTGTCAAACCTTTTCTAGCTCGTGGGTTGAACGAAACCCCGATTTTCCGGTCTCTGCTACCGGACTAAAAACAAGGAATGACCTAAAATGACCTAGAATGCTTCCTATAATGACCTAAAATGACCCAAAATAACCTTGAGTGAATTCTTAAATGACCTAAAATAACCTAATATGACCTTAAGTGATGTGAACAATGCGGCGTCGACAAAATCTGGATCGGATCGGATCGAATCGGATTGTTCATTTCAGTTTGCGGATTTTACGTGATTTAGCATTTGGTTTTTGGTTTTCGTCAAAAATTCAAACGGGTTTTCCAAATTTTTTTCCGGTTTGTCTTCGATCTGAGCGACAATGTAAATGCGCAAGGGAATGTAAATGCGCCAAGATGGCAGCACGCTTTTGGAACTTGCTCTGCCTTATAGGGGTCTATAATCAACTTATTCCAAGGTCTCAGCCTCCCATTACCAAATTGCAAAGCAGTAAGAACTTCTGCTACCTATCGAGCATCAATGGGGAATCCATTGCGCTTGGTACACGGAATTTTCTTCCATTTCCTGGCCTACTTTTCAGGCCGTCATTGAAGCGCATCGAGTCGAGAGTCCATGCAATCAACTACTCGATTTCAAAAATCAGCAAACATGGAAGCACAATGCTCATACTTCCTGGTCATTTATTCTGGCTAGACCTCACGATCCATATGGATATTCAATGCAACCCAGGACCTGAAAGGTTGGAAAACTCTCAAATAAACCATCTGCAGCCATCGGATAACAGCTCCTCTCACATCATTAAATATACAAGATCTGAGCTACTACAACTGCGGTTACGGCAATTTAAAATCCCGGACGAAACCTTCCATTTGCTGAAAAGAAATGGAATATTAAGAACACGAGGAGTTCGCTCTGGTCAGGCTTTCCGAAACCGTAAACATAATATTGCAATCTCTCATGTTCAGCAGAGACCTGACAACACAAAACCTGGCGAGAGAGGAGTAAATTTGCATAACCTGTGCTTAATAAAGCGCGTTAAAGAAAACAAACAACCTTCCAAAGCGCCCGGCGGGCTTGAAATCCTTCATTTGAATATTAGATCGCAAAAAAAATCGCGCTCACTTGCTAGAACTACGACAACTTGCATCTGAAAGGAAAAGCGACACTATTACTATCTCTGAAACATAGCTCAATACCACCGTCAATTCAGCAGAGATACAAATCGAGGGTTATAAATTACACAGGTTAGATCGACTTCACAAAGGAGGCGGCGGAGTATGTGCCTATGTCCGCAAAGATCTCAAATCATCTGTACTGAAGGAGTTGTCATCGATATCCGAGCGAAATTTCCATCAGCTTTGGATAAATGTCCAGTGCAAGAAACTAAAATCAACAATAATTTGCGTGACATATCGCCCCGACGACTCTCCTCTGAGTTCCTTCGAAGAAGTATTTAAGCCCAGCTATATTCAAGCCTTGCTGCTTGACAAACCGATCACAATCTTAGGCGACCTAAACTGCGATGGTCTCAAGAAAACAGACACTGAATACAAAGCTTTGGAGAAATTCTATACGGATATGAACTTGAAACAACTCATTACAAAACCAACCAGGATAACAATTGTTTTTGTCAAGCTCCAGGTTAAGAAACCCAAGATTACCCCTCAGTACATTACCACTCGAAGTTACAAGAAGTATAATGCGGATCTTTTTGTCACGGATCTAGCTAAGGAAACGGATTCCCTGCTCACTATCTTCGATCAAACCAATGTAGACTCTAAGCTCAATATTTTAAATGACACTTTGTAGTCCGTCCTAAGCTTGCACACTCCCTTGAAACAAATTAAACTTCGGAGTAGACCGTGCCCCTTTTTGAACCAGGAAATCAAGGATCTTATGAGATCACGAGATCTCCTCCTGAAGCAATTCATACAGTCTCGCCAAGACACCAAGTGGATAAATTTCAAACATTCCCGTGACTTGGTCAAGAAAAAGCTACAAGAAGCTGAAAGAGATCACACCTTTGAAGAGGTCACAGCTAATAAAAACAACTCTGGCTCACTCTGGAAAATTATTAATCGCGCCATCCCCTCCAAAGATAAGCAGAGACCAGCCTTTACAAAGGATGTGGCAGTCTTAACCAACGAATTCAATCAGTTTTTTGCTAAAGTCGGCTTAAATGCCGCTGACGCAGCACAGCGCTTGAGGGAAAACATCATAGTCCGAGATTTTTCATCCGAAAATGGCATAGATACAACCTCTATGGAATTATTCAATTTAAGGACAGTGCCACTTGAAGAGGTTCGCCGAATTGTAACATCTCTCCCAATGAATAAATCTCCGGGACCCGACAAGATCAGCGCTCGTGTACTAAAAGACTGTCTCCCTTTCATATTGGGCCCTCTTACTGACATCATCAATTGTTCTATCCTTACTAGCACATTTCCAGACAATTGGAAAGAGCCTGAGGTGATTCCGATTCTTAAAGACGGTGACCATGAAAAAGCTGCCAACAACAGACCGTTATCTCTGCTAGCCGTAGCCTCAAAGGTCCTCGAAAGGATTGTTTTGAACCAGTTCAGCGCCTATCTCACAAAAACAACCGCCTTACCTCACACCAAAGCGGCAATAAAAAAGCTCATTCTACAGAGACCTTAATCATCCTACTCACGGATAAGATACTCGAAGCAATGGATAAAAAGCAGATAACAGCACAGCAGGTCGTTTAAGATCGTTTTGGGTCGTTTTAGGTCATTTTAGGTCATTCCTTGTTTTAATAACTACCCAAGTATGCCACCACAAAAGCAATAATCAGACTTTCTAATTTACTCGCTCAGTTGCAAAATAAACAATGTTACGTTTAAGTTTATGCTGCATTTAAGTAACATTACAGCAATTATCTGAAATATTCACTCAAAAATGACTTACATTACCTATTATAATATCAGTATGCCGTTACAAAATCAAAGTGAGAAGCGTTTTGTTCACTCACTAAGTAGAAAATAAACAATGTGTTCAATTACAGAAAAAATTTTAACACCTGTTATACTGGAAGTATAACAAATATGATTTTTAAAATTCAAAATCAAAGTGTTTAGCGTTTTTTCACTGAATTCAGTCTTTTCGATACAAGTCGAAGTCGATTCGTCTCGCATGTAAAGTCGATTCGATACAAACCCACGTTACTTCAAGTCGTTTCGATACAGAATACTATACTTTCTATGACACGCAAACGAGACCAAGTTCTGGTTAAGTCTATTTATTGAGAACAGAGACTTATATAAATACATTTGAGACTTCTTCTATAACTCCAGCGCATATTATGTCTACGACCAAGAAACACAAATACTATCAATAATGTCGTGTAAATCGGTGATGCAACGGGCCTGTTCTGAGACCTCCAGACTTGTGTTCAATTACAGCAATAATTTGAAATTTTAACTGAAAGAAATTAATTTTAAAACCTGTTATACTAGAAATATCCCAAATAAATGTTCCAAAATTCAATCGACTCTTGTCTACTACCTCAATTCACGTGTTGGCGCTCACCGATAGGCCCAACTGGTATACTTGTTACTGTTTGAGGAGTACCTCGAATCGATATCGTTCTCATTCGACACATTCGCAAGTTTCACGCATAGTTTACTCTGAATGGGACGTTTCTCCCAAAGGAAAGTTTCTACCAATTCATGCAAATGTCCCAAGTTTTTAGCATAAATCGAGTTTTATTCCATAACTTGCTCCATCCGCCATGCTGTTTAGGCAATTTTGCCGACTACGGCCGACAATTTCACGAGCATGATTGTGACACTCGGTCCCAGTCTCAAAACGAAGAAGGGCCTTCTTCCGTAGGATCTAGGTGGAACCCCTCCTCATTGAAGCATCAGCAAAGGTCTGACAAGATGGCGTATTTCCGTGATTATGGAATTTACTTACTCTTTCCTCTGCTGGTTAAGTTTCACGGATCAGGTAGGAGTGAAATTTATTCTCCCGTACAAAGGATTTTATAGTGTTTTTTAGCATGTGTCTTATTAAGCTTAGACACCGAAACGCCGACCCTTTATTTTTGAACGAGTTTCGTTCAGTTTCAAAATTTCAGTTTCAAAATTTTCGATATGATGTTGAGATTTCAATCACGTGGCAAATGAAGTCTGAATAACTATGATGCGTTAAAAATCAAGAGCAAAGGATGTTATGCCTCAAATGTAACACTACTATACGTTCAGAATTGAAACCGAGAAGTGCACTATTTTCTTGATTAGTGTGAGTCGTTTTCTTAGCCATGAGAACGATACAGCTTTGGTAGATGGCTTTCCATTACAAACATGATGGCTATGCAAATCCAGAAAAGAGTTGCCATCTGTACATAAACTCTCTTCCTTGCCATCCATCACTCATTACTGGGAGGAGCTGTGACCAATTTTTCCACTCATTATTGGTTCAAATAATGACCTCAGCAAGGATAATTGCTGCTAGCTAAGTTGAGTGTGACTTTTCCGCCAGGCAGCAATCATATAAAGATACTACATAATGCACTTGGATGGATAATTGAGTATTATTTGCCCATTGAGTATTATTTGCCAGTTTTAAGCTTTATGCACAAGTGTTGTGGTATCCCACACCAGAAGTTGTGGGCTACTTATTTTTTTTATATTAGGAAACTGTTAAGTTTTGCCAGGACCAAACTTTTTGAAATGTATGTTTATATATGTCAGCTTATCATATATATACTGAGATTTAATCCAAGCTAAATTTGAAAAAAGAATATTTGTAATATACTGCACAAATTCTAATAGGTCGGATGGTTTTCCACAGGTGAGAAATGAGCATCTGACCTCCTCTGTGATTTTAACTTTACAGAACCATGGCAACATGGGATCTATTTGTTTTATTTAATAAAGAAGCAAAAATTGTTGATGGTGATGTCATGTTTGTGTTTGTCCTTTAATGAATCATAAGTACATGAAAGAACCAATAAAAATGCATGTAGAATTCAGCTTATTATATAAACCCTTATTGATTATAGAAATGAGGTCAAAGATATTCAAAGCTAAAGGAGGTGCAGCTGAGTGGTTTCAATACAAGTTTTGAACATTGTTGACATCCTTTCTATGACAAAGGTTATAGACAATAGAAAATTGTGGTTGATTTCTTTTATAATAACATTGGAATTTTTATGCCAGCTTAATGTGCCAAAGTTTTGCGAAAAATTGCACACATGTGACATGATTGATCATTACATTGATGTTTGTGCTGTTGTTTTAATTTGTGTTATGTGATGACTTCAGTGATTAAATACCATCAGTATAATTGCTCAGGTGATTATAGGGATGCACATGCTCTGATTGGTTAAGGACTGCAACATGCTTTCTTCAAGTGTACCATTTTTAAATTTTGGAAATTCACCACTGTGCACATTTTGGAAATTAAAGAAAGTGGAACTTGTCAAAAATTATTTACATAAAGCACAAATAGTTACTCATTACTGTAACTGAACCATATTTCTTAGCAAGTAAAAGTATATTTTGAGCTGATTGCTATTAGTGAATACTAATTATAGTATATTTACACTTATTGTTATTACTGCTTACACTAAAAGTACCTCTGTGGTGAACTCTATTTAAGCCCTTCTTCCTAAATATTATCCTTACACATGTAACTAAAGGGCTGAGAATATTATTTTTATGGTTGTCTATTTTAGGGGGTGTGGATGTGCATTTCACCCAGAAACCTTCTAATCCAAGCTACTTTAACAATGGTAGTGATGCCAACCTGGTGTGGGACTACACTGATCCAAGTAATAAAGTTTGGCGCATTATCTACAGGGTTCTGGTAAATGGTACTTATGTCAGAATGATTTTTAGAGACAATAGTGGTGTCCGAGAACATCCTGACACCCCTCAATCTTACAAAGGAAGAGTAGGAATTGAAGGAAGAGCTACCCTGGTTATCAAGAACATCAACCCTCAAGACAGTACCGAATTTCAATGTCAACTCACAGGAAGCATTGTCAATTCAGTGAAAGATAAAGTTCAGCTTATTGTGGCGGGTACGTATTACAGACATCACCATTGATAATCAAACATAAATCAAAGTCGGATGTCTGTTGGTAACCTGTCGGTGGCCTGTCGGTAATGTGTCGGTAAGTCGTGTGCTGAAATGATCGCAAACAGTTACTTATTTATCGCTTCAACAACTATGTCGAAACAGGAAAAATTGATTGCAGAGAGATAGTTAGTATGGCTATTGCCTAACTTCAGGGCGTGAAATTGCGCCTAATACAGGCGACTAAATTTGTCACTTTGGCGACCAAATCCTGAAAATTAGTCGCCAAATCAGCGACTAGAATACTTCATCATATCCTTAGAAAGATAAAGTCACTGCAAATTTCCTCGTTAAGCTTGTTTCCAATACACAGCATATACATCTAAATCAGTGAGTCTTTGTCTTTGAGAATGGCGACCCACTTTTTTTGAATTGGCTACCACTTTGAAGAATTTAGGAGCAAAGTGGCTATCAGAAAAAAAATTAATTTCACGCCCTGAACTTCCTTGCATTGGCTAGCAAAACATGCCCATATTGGTTCGATTTCACGAATCATTTTGAGTTACTTGCTCTTATCCAGAGTTTTCAAAGTGTTTTCACGTTTTTGGCCAATCATGGCTTGCTAGCATCCTTGTGGGAATGTGCATGTAGCACAGAAAGGCAAAACACTCCCGAAGTCTAATAAAACACCAAAAAAAGGTAAATTTTAATATTTTAATTGTCACAATATGCCAAAAAGGGCGATGATCGGGACCTGTCACAAGAAAAGAAAGATTAATCAGACATACATGAAGTATTGTAAACTATGGTTTTGCAATGCATTATAGAGTGATTAAAAAACTTCCTTTTTGCCACCAAGCAAATAAGCCTATTTTAGTGTAAAAATACATGTTAGGAAATAGGTAAATAAAAAAATTGGTACGTATGGTCTGATTTACACTGTCAGCGTGCTATCAGTAATATGTCGGTATCATGTCGGCTGACAGGTTACCGACAGGTTACTGACAGCTGAACATGGGAGCTATTGTTCACTTTTACCAGTTTGAAACAAGAATATTACTTCCATTACATAAATGAATCATGCAATATATTTGGTTTTGCCTCTCCACTTTTCACCTTTACAACTTCTTTCCTACCATCTCCTGTAGTTTCTTGATTAACATCAGCATCTTTTGATGGTCTTGAAGACATTTTCTTTGCAAATGTAAAACAAGCTTAAATCTTATGTTAATTATTACTAGGAAATGCTTAGCGTGAATTAAAACGGCCTTTTTGCTCAAGTATTTCTCATGCTATATTCTGGTTACTGTCTGTTTTGTTTATTTATTTACTAGGAAGTGCCTCTGTTTTCCTCGTATGGGCTATGGCTGATTTTACTTGAGTTTTAAGGACCTACCCAAATTATCTCGCCATAAGTTTTGGGAACACTTATTCACAATTGTATTGAAATGTATCTCTCCTCTTAAGGAGGGTAACATGCATTTAAAGACCTTTGATGGAATGACGCTGCTCCATTGTAAATATAATGCCAACGACAGATTGAGGATGTGTTTCATTTGCTTAATGATAACCTCTCTATTGAGAAGTCGCAAAACATTTTATAATATTAGTTTTAACACAAATTGTTATCAGTAGTCTCCATACAATCCATTCTTAATGCAGGAAATTAATTCATTTTCTTTGCATTGGACTTGGGCTTAAGAATGTTTTATTTGTGGGTATAATTCTCTAAAATGCAGAGGAAAAGTTGGAAACTCTCCCTTCTGCAAACTCCATTTGCAGGACAATCACGATGAACAATCAAATTATTTAATGTTTGATAAAAGAACAATTAGTAAAAGGAGTTGAGTAAGTTCTCCTTTTAACTTTAAGTAATGGCAAGCAGCATCCAGCATGCCACTGGTGTATTCTTTTTATCCCAAAGAATCTATAGTTTCTCTTTCATCACAATTTCAATTCTCTGGGTTGAGGATGTCTTCAATAGATTGGTCGTCAGGCCAAGTTCCAAGTGAGGTGTGGCTTGATGGGCTCGGTTCCTATTTGTTTGTGCAGCAGCAAAAATTTTATTTTAAAAAATGGGAGTAGCTTAGAAGTCAGGGTCCTTAGCCAGATGAGTGACTTCCTGAATTATAGCCCTTAATTCCCCCTAAGCTGGGGCTCTGCTTTTCAATTTAGCTTGTGAGCAAGTTCTCCAGTAGCTAGCACCAACAAGGTAACTTGTACTGAATGAAGTTTGAGCCTTCTTATACTAGTTGGTTGTTGGGGACCAATTGCTGGATACTTTTGTTTATTTAATTCAAATTGGGTAAATTTTGAGACTCAGTCCAAGTAAGATTTGTTATGCCATTTGAGGAATAATATAATCTCTTTTACCTTTTAGAGGCACCACTCATAAACCTACTTTTAGGAGGAAAACATTACATTGAAGGATCTCCTGTCACCATAGACTGTAAAGCGTCTGGGAAACCACTGCCAAATGTAGCATGGATTAGAAATGGAGTATTGAAAAGTTCAGGAAAAGGAAATGCGTTTTTAAAGTTCAATAATATAAACAGAACAGATGCAGGACAATATACATGTCAAGCCAATAACTCAGTGGAAGTCACTTCCGTTAACACAACAATTCTAGTACACTGTAAGTATATTTAATCTTAATTTTCTATTTCTGAATTAACTTTATTTACAGTGCAGGGTGTAAATTAACTTTTTTTTCTGATAGCCACTTGGCTCCTAAATTCTTCAAAGTGATAGCCAATTCAAAAAAAGTTGGTCGCCATTTTCAAAGACAAACAAAATCTTTCTTTACGCTGTCAGCGCTCTAGATAGACCCTCCAAAATTAAGTTAGGGAAAAGATCTTTAACATGCTACAAAGTGGACACTAGGATGGATGATATACAACGTTCAGGCTCATCTAAATCCAAGATGGCGTCTAGTTATCGATCGAGATGCATGTGCTACGTTTTGGAAACAAACTTAACGAGGACATTTGCCGCGGATTTATCTTTGCAAATCTTTTTAATTCACTATATCTCTTGGTAAGGTTATGATGAAACGTTCTAGTCGCCAATTTGGCAACTAACTTTCAGGATTTGGTCGCCAAAGTGAAAAATTTAGGCGCATTGGCGCCTGTATTAGGCGCAATTTCACGCCCTGCAGTGTGAATCCTGTTATTGGGGTTAGTTACACAAAATTGACAAATCTGTTCAAAGCTGTAAGGAAACAGAAGTCCACCTTAAATCCTTTTCGGCTTTGTGTTCATTGGTCCCAAGTATTGGTTGTGATAATTGAATTTAGGTGGAATCATTGCTCCTAAGGACGCAAAATTTTTTTTGTCAAGTAATTGCTTCAGTTGGACTGTGTTTAACAGAAAATGGCTCGAAGCCATTTGAAAGTCATTGTGAAAACCCATTTCTCTGTTTAACTAGTGCACAAGGCTAGCACATATTCTGATTCTGTGTGAGGGCTCTGGTTGAGGTTCCATGGAAAGCTGAGAATTGGTCAAAATTCTAACTGTCAGCTGGGAAATTACATGCTTGTTTTATTGATAGCTGGGATCTGCTGATGGAAGCAAAAATGAGCTGAAACTAAAACTGCATGCTTAAGATTTGCACACATATTTGCATGTGTGGCATTCAAAGAGATATACTATTTAAGGGCTAAAATCCATGTTAAATTTCATGATTCAAAGGCCTTGCCACCTTATAATGAATACTTGACTGCCAAATAACACAGAAGTAATGGACTGTACTATGGAGTGATTTCGACCTTCACCTTTTTTCATTTAAAGACAGAGAAAGAAAAAACAAATGCTGCACTTTGATAATTGATTTCCATGACTTTCTGGTTTGGGAGATTGTGTAACCTGCAAGCACTATGCCGCCACGCTATGTGAGAAACTTGATTGTTTCAGTGTTCGCATATGTGCAGGCATTCAACCTCTGTTGTCAGGAGCTGGTAAAAATTAAGCATGAACAGTATGCTAATCTCTAGATTTCAAAGTCACTTGTCATTAAAAAAATTACATGTACAGGACATGCTGTCTTAAAGACCTACATGTACTTTCATTTTCAAGTCCAAAAATTGTCTTATATCTACTGATGTAAGGGAATACTTGTGTACTTGGAGCCATGTCACCATACACATAAATTCAACATATTATAATGATAACCTAATCTATACTGACATAATCAGGATTATTGTAGGAGTCATATTTCAATAGAAATGCTGAACTTTGGAACTTGTTACCATCTAGTATAAAAACAATCCACTTTTTTTTTTCTTTTAAGACCAGCCCAAACAATATTTATCTCTCAAAACAAGAAACTTATAAGCCTCCTGGCTATCGATATATGTTTTTAGTATAATTGCTTGGGTGATTATAGAGATGCACGCACTCTGATTGGCCGAGGTATGCATCATATCTTGTTTTAATCACCTTGCCTGAGATGATTAGAGCAGGGGGCTAAATTTCAGAGATATACTATTATTTTCCAGTGTCATGCAGGAAGTGAAAAATTTGATAGGGGAAAATTCAATTCTGTAGAGCACAAAAGATGCTGATAAGTTTGGCATAACACTAGTTATAATTGTTGAACAATCACCCAAACTTAGTCTTGGGTATCATTCAACAATGTTCACTTTGCTGTGACAAAAAAATGCTAAATATGTACTGGAGTATATATATTTTTAATGTATTTTAGTGAAATAAGGGTTATATAGCAATTGGAACAGAAGTTCTGTTTCTTTCCCCCTTGGCACCCCCAAGAACTTCTGTTCCAATTGCTTTCTAACCCCTACATTACTAACATGCATTAGATGAAAAATGTTTGTATTTATTATATGGCTTAGGCTTGTGGCTGTTATAATGCATGCTCTGATTGGCCAAGAGCAACATCAGAGCAGGTCATTATGTAACAGTTATGCCCCTGTTAGGTAGTTTGTAGAGTTGAATTGGGAATTAGTTATGAGTTAACCACCATTTAACCACTGGTAATGCCAAAACTATTCACTTGTTATGACAGAAACCATCAGTTATAGTTACATCTTAACAACATTTATCCCAATCATGCTCAGGATGTGCAAATCGAGGTCATGTGACCTTCCATATGACCTTGGAGGAGTGTAAATAGCCTTGTAAAACTTATAAGAATATCTATACATCCTCTATGGCACAAATTTATGAAATATCCCTTAGTATTCTGCTATTATCTATGAAAGGGTCACACAATCCACAGTTTCAGCCTAATGTTTGCTTATTAAGCTTAAAGCAACGAGATAAATATCATTTTTGCCCAATTTGCCCAAAAAAGAGGGGCAGTCAGGTAACCACTGTTTGTGGTCATTTTTTATGTTTTTTGTGAAAAAACTTCTGATTATATCATTAGCTTTTAATGACAGGAAGCTAGCTATGCTCAACTTCTACAAATTATGTCACATGACCAAGCATGTGACCTCCAAGGGGCCTAAATCCGCCCTCTTGCCTTAAAGTGAAATCATACTTGTGTCATCCTTCTAAATCTCGTATACACCACCTCTTACCTCAGAGCAATACATATTTCAACTAAAGAACACAGTATTATGACTTATTTTGATCTGTTGAGCTTTAAAGTAACTTATCTCCACTGTTCATCAACAGAAAGCTATCCTCTTAACTATGGATGCCTCATATGTCAACTATTTAACAGTTCCTCTTCAAAGGTACTCTCTGTTGCTTTCTTCAGTTTCACTGATCAGACCATGGGGGTTGCTACATCCTTAATCGTCTGCCAAGCAGAATTACCCTTCTGTGAAAGCAAGTCCTGTGTTGCTGTAGGAGCAGTTCTGCTCACAGGCAGACATCTTGCACTGGCACATTATGAGCTTAAAAGTTTTAATAATGCCAGTGCTTTTGTGATTGGCTGTGGTACAAGAAGCTCCCCGTTCTTCATCCATCCATGACCCTCTAGTGATTTAAGATCCCGCATAGCTTTAAGGGTATGACTCTACATGAATGCTTTGCACTTTGATTTCTTCAGATGTTGAAGTAGACAATCAGTTGTTGGTGGAAGCATTTCATTTTTCTGCTTATTCTAGCAGAACATGAGATAACATAATTCATCTGCAATGCTTGTCTTTTTGTGGTCAGGTATAAGCTAAGTCTGCAAAGAGCAACCGACTGGAAATTGCAAAGGTTTACCTTATGTCAAAAATGTAGTATTCATGTTTAGGAATTGATCAAAAGTGAAAGTTCAAGCATACATCAAATGCAACAAATGTTGATTGCTACAGCTTTAAATTGCCGGTAATAAAAATAGAAACCAATGGTGGAAATAAAACATGCTGAACTAAATAATTCAAGCCATACCTTTTTTTTTGGATTGGCAAGATAATTTCCCCATTGTCTTGGTACTGGAGTGGCAGGACCTCTGATTTGCATTTTGAGGCCAATGAATGTTCCCCTTTGCTGACGCTCACCTCCTTTCATGAAGTTGCTCAGTATTAGTTAAAGACCACTTGGAATTGCAGACAGTTGCTAGAAAAGAAGGGGGACCTCAAGATGTTGAAATATTTTTGTAAGAGTTCACCAAAGATATCTGCTCCAGAAGATTTTGTCATTTGTACAGTGGGACTGCCATGCCATTGATAACAACAACCTGTGGATTTGTTGATGCTGCAAGTTGCTGACCTACATAAACATCTTTCTCTAGAAGAGAGCATAACGTACTCTAAACACCTTTTCTAAGACTTCCACTAGTGAGTGAATATGGAATTGAAGACAGTTCAAAGCTCAGCACATCTTTCAGGCAGATTGGATGTGACAAGGAGCCTAACAAACAAGTCCTCGTCAGCATTAACAGTAATTAGCTTCTTGCTGGATTTGACTCCAACCTTATTTGCACTGCTGAACCTTGGATCTTGATGTTTGTAATTGGCTCCCAGAAACCCTAGCAGGGAAAGAAAATATAAAGCCATGTGGTATATAAAGCTTAAATTGCTGGGTGGAAAACTGTGGCTTTAAGTCAATGAATTTACATTACTGGGTGTAAATTGACAACTTCTGTGTAAATAAATTCTTCATTTCTTCAGTTTGTAAGCCATACAATAAAGCCAAGGGGATTATTCAACTTTCTTTACTGAGCCTGAGGCAAATAGTTGCTTTAGTGTTATTGCTAGGGTGCTTTCAAATTCTGTCGTAAATTCATTTTGTAAATTAGAAATTGTAAATTCTGTTACAATAGTTTGGATTACTTGTTTTCTGACAAGCAGCCATTTTTATTGATATATTTGAATTATTGTGTAGGAGACACATTGCAACTATTTAAAATTTATTCTCCGAGAGTTTTGTATTTTTCTCTTGATGATCGTTTGTTAACATCTTGCTGCAACTCACATGGCTGGAACTTGATACTCGCCATTTGCAGAGGTCATTTTGGTAGCTGGAATTACAAACGAGGGAGGTCAGCTCTGTTTCAATCTAATGGTGTACTATTAATTGAGTGGTAAGTTCCGATAATCAATTGTAGCCCTTATGTTTTGAATTAAAGACTGTAACTGTTGAGTGGCTGCTAACAAAAATTGACTGTAGTTTCAATCTTCATGCTTACATCTTTCATTCTGGGATGACTGATTCATCTACTGCAATAGGAAAAATGTACACGTGGTCAGCCAACTTTGGTTTATGAATCCATCTCAGTGCTCTGAACATCTCCATCAAGGGATTTTATTGGGAACTAGTAGAAATTTTGAAATTGTTACCTTGAGCTTCCAAACATATATTGTTTAAGATCATTTAACGTTATGCTGAATTTAAAGTGTGGCATCAAAAGAAATCTAAATTCCATTTTTAATTGACATCTATACCTCAGCATTGCCAACTGCTAAAGGTCCATAGTACTGATTGACTGTCTGCAAACTAAAGTAGAAATTCAGACTGCCTTGGTACATTTCAAACTCATGAAGTTAACCTGTGTACTTCACGAGTTTGTTTTTGATGAGCTTTCACAATACAGATTGATGATTGGACAGTTTTTACTCCTTGGATATCATTAGCCAATTTAACAAGTTAAAAGGTAGCTGATTGGCTAATTTTGTACCAATCAGTTTGTTTCAGATTCTTTTTGGGTGTTTTTAGCCTGTGTTGAAAAGACAGCTTCTTTTCTTGATGTTTTTATTAAACTTCCTGATCATAAATGGCAGGAGGCAGACCAGTTGCCTACAGACAAAGTGCAGCCAAGGAGTTGAACACAGGGCAACCAAGAACATTGGTAGATGACTTGCTGCAATTTCTATTCCAAAAGCATTATATTTCTTGCCCAGGGCACTCCAGCAAGTGATACGAAATTAACCCACACACAAGATTGATACTTTGTTGCATTATCATGCCCCCTCTAGACTTTTACAAGGGGTTATGATTTATAACCAGGGGAAATGTACGAGTCATGAAATAAACAGAGATTAAGATTTTTTATTTCATTTTAGACAAACCTGAAGGTGTGAGGCTCACCACCAATGCTTCAAAAAATACTGTCACTGAAGGAGACACAGTTACATTCAAGTGTACAGTTATGGCTGCTGTGCCACAAGTGTCAATTTACAAGTTCTATTTCAATGGCCGCCACCTAAGAAATAACAGCAACAGTGAGTATACTCTCAATAACGTCAACCAATCTCAGCACCATGGTGAGTACAAATGTATCCCACATAATGATGCTGGAGATGGAGCAGAAGCCACTGTGAGACTTGACATAAATGGTGGGTAGAAAGGTCTTTGAGCATTTCAAAGTACTTTGGACATATCATTCAAAAAACGTTTTTTACCAATTTACATTGCATCAATGAAACTTCCCACACTGTGAATTATTACAACCCCAACCTGGGAAAAATAGAGACCCTAGTAATGAGGTTGACATGTTGTGCCCTCACTCCCTCCACCTGAAGAGGTGTTTCCCTCAACTTACCACACAATGCTCCTCCCCAAGGTATTTTGGAAAGGTGCTGGAAAAATTAAGTTGGTGCCTAATAGTGAATGGGTGCCTAATAGCAAAAGTTGTGCCTGATAATAATGAACTGGTGCTTAATAATGATGAACAGGTGCCTAATAATGATGGACTTGTGCCTAATGATAAAATGGCAAGTGCCTAATAATAAAAATCAATGCCTTATTAGGATGAACTTGTGCCTAATAATAACAAAACAAGCCTAATAATGGTTCACAAGTGCATAATGGAAACAAAACAGTGATTTGGCAGGAATGGCACCCTGTGGTGCTTGCTAGGTGGAAGCAATTATTCTGTGTCTGCTAAAATCTCTAAACTTATGCTTTTTTTTTTTTTCATTACAATATTTTAAAACTGGTGCAAAATGAAAGTTTGTTTCCTTTTTTATTTTTTCAATATATTTTTAATGTATGTGTGGCATTTTATAATCTTATTTCTATAGTGTATGAAGTGGATGATTTTGAACCAAATCGCTCTCTAATGTTATGGTGTGAAAACTCTGTTGTTCCTCTCCTCTTTTTCAGTTCCTGTCCAGTTCACAGAAGTGCCACAGAATATAACAATTAATATGTCAACTCCTCTGTTTTTGAGCTGTGATGCCTCTGGTTTTCCTGAACCTATGATAAGATGGGAAAAATCTGGGATTAAGTTGTCAGACACCAAACAGTTGAACATTCCCAGTAGTAACAAGAACGATGCAGGAGAATATGTTTGCATCGCAAGAAATGGAGTGAGACAGGAAAAGACAGTAAGAGCTTATGTCACTGTGCAATGTAAGTCTTTTTTTCAGTTTGTCATAAAAAGTTGCCATTGCTACTGAATAAATGATACAGTTAGACTTATATTCAGCAGCACTGTATTAAGTGGTAACCCTGTATTTAGGGGTCAGTGGTCAGAGTCCCAAATTTTTTTCTTCTTAATTGCTGTAATTTTCACCTCTTTGTAGAGGTCACCTCTATTAAGTGGTCGTGGTCACCTTTGAGTGAGTGACAACAGCCTGTTTGTATTGTCTTCCACCTGTAATGATCAGTCACTTAAAGCGGAACCACTCAATTAAAACTAATAAAGTTTTATCGTAATTTATCAAAATTATTAAGAAATGACGAATTTGGTAATGAAGAAAACATTATTATAGGTGGAGATTTTAATTGTCCTCTCGACATCACACTTGACAAAAAAGGTGGTTTACCGATTCCTCGAAAATATGTAATCAACTCTATAGATGAATTGCAAAATGAATTCAGTCTGCACGACATTTGGCGCCTAAAAAACCCAACATTGCAAAGCTTTACCTGGGGGCGTTGTTCACCTTTTATATTTTGTCGACTAGATTACTGGCTAATATCCGATAAATTACATGATTTGGTAACTAAGGTCGATATCATACCCTCGATCAAAACAGACCATTCCGCTATTATTTTAGAACTTGAAGAAATCGAATCAAGTGGAAGAGGAGCTGGCTTCTGGAAACTAAACACTTCTCTATTGGCAAATGAAAATTATAAACATATGATAACAAACAATTTACCGACCTGGCTGGATGCAGGTAAAGATATACATGATCCCAGACTTTTGTGGGATTGGATCAAGTTTAATATAAGGTCAAACTCCATCATATTCTCCAAACAAATAGCTTCCATTCGACGGAAACAAGAAGAGGAATTAAATAAACGTTATCAGGAGGCAGTCCTAATGTTTCACACAAATTCTTGTAACAATACGCGTCTGGCATTAGAAAAATCTAAGCAGGATCTTGAAGCACTGTACGAGGACAAAGTAGAAGGGATTATACTACGCGCAAGAGCTCGATGGCACGAACACGGTGAAAAGAATAACAAATATTTTTTAAATCTCGAGAAACGCAACCATGTTAAAAAGCATGTAAGAAAGCTGCACATTAGCGGTGTAATTTCTACTGACCCCTTTATGATTATGGATTCACAACGCAAATTTTATAAGAACTTATATCGTAGCAGAAATGTTAATCTAGATAATGCAGAATCATCGATTTTTTTCGATAGTCCAAATTTACCCAGTATTTCACATGATTCAAGAATAATATGCGAGGGTAGAATAACTGCGGAAGAATGCCAGAACGTTCTCAAAACTTTTCCAACTGCAAAAACGCCAGGCAACGACGGGTTACCCATTGAATTTTATAACACCTTCTGGCCATTACTTAGTGATACTTTGATTAATTCATTTAATGAAGCTTTTATGAAGAAGGAAATGTCCCCATCTCAGAGACAGGCAGTGATTACTCTTATTGAGAAACAGGACAAGGATAGGACTTACTTAGAAAATTGGAGGCCAATATCCTTGACTAACGTCGACGCCAAAATTGCGTCCAAAGTTATAGCGACCCGTATTGTCAAAGTTTTACCCGAAATCATTCATAGCAATCAAACTGGGTACGTTTCAGGTCGCTACATAGGGGAAGCCGCAAGATCAATTCTAGATATAATGGATTACACGAAAACTTATGAAATCCCTGGATTGCTACTTTTTATAGATTTTGAGAAAGCTTTTGATAGTCTGGAGTGGAATTTTATGTTCAAATGCTTAGAAGTCTTTGGATTTGGATCCAGTCTTACAAGATGGATAGAAACCTTTTACAGTAACATAACAAGTTGTATTATCAACAATGGAACGCTCTCAGCTAGCTTTGAAATAAATCGAGGTGTAAGGCAGGGAGACCCCCTTTCTCCTTACTTGTTTATCATTGCTATGGAACTACTAGCAGTCGCTATTCGCTCATGTTCAGAAATAGATGGAATCAAAATAGATGAAAAAGAATTCAAAATGGTACAGTATGCAGATGATTTAACAGCTTTTGTGTCGGATATCAGATCTGCTCAATACCTTTTTAAGTTACTTGATCAATTTCAAAAATGTTCTGGTCTAAAGGTGAATTATACAAAAACCGAAGCAATGTGGATTGGCTCTTCCCGTAATAACATCGAAACACCTCTAGCATTGAAATGGCGTAAAACTGTAAAAGCTTTAGGGGTTCACTTTAGTTACAATAACGAAGAATCAGTGCAAAAGAATTTCTACGATAAGCTCAAAGGAATTAAATCTCAGATACGCTTGTGGAGTTGGAGAGGCCTCTCTCTGTTTGGTAAAGTTACAATTATTAAGAGTTTACTACTTCCTAAAGTTTTATACATCTCGTCAATTCTTCCTTCTCCTTTGGAGTTCATAAAGGCCCTTCAATCAATTATATATAATTTTCTTTGGAAGGGTCCTGATAAAATCGCCAGGACAGCAGTAATAAATGATGTTGAATTTGGTGGCCTAAAGGTAACTGATTTTACAACGTCAATTATGTCACTCCGACTTTCATGGATTGGAAGATTTCTAAGCGATAATTTTTATCCCTGGAAAGCGTATCTATTACATTTACTAAAACCTTTTGGTGGAGAATTTTTTCTTCATTGTGATTATAATATTAATGACTATAACATTTCCCCAATATTTTATAAGGAGATGTTACACTGGTGGTCAGATTTTCGTTCTAAATTTGATCTTGTAAGTCTACGTGAAACAATCATCTGGAACAATCATAACATTAGAGTAAACGGCAAACCTTTATTCTATTATAATTATAATAGCGCAAATATTATTCTTTTAAGCGACTTAAAATTTGATTTGAGTAACACAGAGTCCTTTAACCTTGCAAAACGTAATGGTTTAAAAGATTCCAACTTTCTGACCTGGACTGGTGTTCGTTGCGCAGTACCAAGTCATCTAAGAATTCGATGCCACGAAATTAAGAAAGATCATGTCAGATCACTGCAATTTAAAATCGGTGATAAAATCTTTGATCCAGCACTTAGCAAGTCTAGGGATTTCTACGGTTTGCTTATATCCAGTAAGGCGACAGAGTCCAGAGGCTTCACAAAGTTGAAATCTAAATTTTCTATTGATGATGCGGAAACAAAAAAGGCCTTCTCATTAATAAGGTCCTGTATCTGTGAGACATATGTGCAATGCTTTCAATTTAAAATACTAAATGACATTTTATTCACAAATTCCCGCTTAGCTAAGATAGGTTTAATACAAAGCGATCTTTGCACTTTTTGCAATACTAGTGCGGAAACAATTGATCACTTATTCTTTTACTGTGTTTACTCACATGCATTTTGGGAAGAATTTGAATCTTATTGGATCGCTATAGCCAAAGAACAAAGGAAACTTGAGTTAAAGACTATTTTAATTGGTGTCACAGATACTAATTGTTCTTTATTTAATTACTTAATCGTTTTAGGTAAGCTACATTTATGGAATTGCCGTAGGAATAATAGTCTTCCTTTTTTCCCTTCGTATAAGGAACTAGTTAAAAGAAAATATGAAACTGAATGTCACATTGCGGCTAAGTTTAATGATAGGAAGATGCTAGAGGCTAAATGGAAACCCATTTTGAATTATAATTTAATAGATACATAGGTGTGTAAGCGAAAAAAAAAAAACTGTAAAAAGTAGGGTAAGAATTGCAGTCTAAGGAAGTATTATATAGTAAGTAGAATAAGTAACGTCTTGTAGGTGGTATTGTAAGTAGTGTTCGTATTGTTTTGTAAAGTAGTGTTCTTCGTGTTGCAATTAAAAAAAAGTTATCTAAAAAAAAAAAAAAAAAAAAAAAAGAATGATTTTTTTTTGTATAAATTCAATCCATGTTTAAAACAGGTTTCATTACTGTACAAAATAACCAACTGTCCAACTATGGTGAGATATTTTAACTCGATCTGTGCATTATTTGTACTCTCTTAAGTGCAGTTGGATAATGAATTTATGTTATTCATAGGCCGAAAGGTCAGTATTGGGGAAAACTGTACCCAAAGTGTCTAGTACTGCCAAAGGCAGTAAACAAGACACAGACACAAGACACAGTTTTTCCCAATTCGTACCAACCTAGACTGGTTAAGAACATTTTTATTTTTTCTTAAGTTAACAAAATACTTGCCAAAAGAACATGATTTATTTAGGGCTGTAATTATGGCAAGATCCTCCATAAACTGAACAAACCTTGAGCAAGTAAATTGTAGTTAAAATGGAGGTAATGCAAATTAAAGAGAAAGGCTTCACTAAAACATTTTTATTTGCACAATGATGTAGGTGATTTATAAGGCTTCCAAACAAACTTTGTATCTAAGATGAGTAGCACAGTCACATAGCCATTTGCTGTAACATAGTTCAAAAATAACTATTTTTTATTTTTTCACTTTTTATCACTTTTTGACTTTAATTTTGATCAAAATGTACATTTTAATCAATATCTGTAAATATTTTTATTATTTTGCATTAATAACACTAATTTTGGTATTACCCACAATCCCTTGTGGGCGTGGCACATTTTTGGTTTTTCATAAAATCTTAAGAAAATCAATGGAAAAATGGAAAAAAAGAGGTTTTGTAATTATTAGTTCACATTGAAGCAATGATTTCCTCATTTTCTTTTAAAGGGAGTTTGTAAATAGACTTTCGTCCTCTCTTTCTGACTGGTAGGTCACCGCAAATGTGACAGACAGTACATTACATTGTTATGCAATAATCTGCCCCTGCAATATTCGCCATATTCCTTCGTCACTTTCCTTCGTTACGGTTCATGAACACGGCAGCAATGGTGGAAAGTGTTTCCGCGTCGACCAAACGTAAATTTCTAGCGTTAGATCTAACGAAATGGGTTGAAACGTTCTGTAAATTTAGCTTAATACAAGCCCATTTCAGGAGAGGTGAGCTTGTTTACTCAACTTAACAAGAATCGCGTCTGACAACGGATCTACTGGTGGATATGTGATGGAATTAAGCTCAATATGGCCGTTACGAAATGTGTTTCTGCGCGTTTTATTTTGATCTGGAAAACATTCTACTTGACGATTCAACTTCAGCGTTGGTTTCTAAATATTATGATGTATGCCCATTACATTTTTGTTATTAGTTTGTTGCTTACACAGTCGAAATTATCATTATTGCTAGTTTTGCACACTATGGTTGTTTTAATAGTTGCGAGCGTTACATTGTTCAGTGATAAAAACAGACGTTTATAACTTGCGTTAGAATAAACCATTCCTGTTGCAAATCATACTGCCTGTTGCTTTTGTCATAAACTACTAACGGCCAAAACATAGTGGCCCCATGTGCGTTCTATATTGAGATATTTCATTTTTTTTCTTCCGTCTGATACATTTCATGTTACGCGTTACACCCAGAAATTCACGCATTTTCAGGAAATATTTATTTTTTACAATTTTCACTTTGTCGCAAACCTTGTTTTCTTTACACCAAAATGAAGTAGGATAACTAAGCTTATATTGTGGAAAGTGTGAGATTTAGAGGTTAAACCTTCCCGAAGATATTCGTTAGCAAAGGCACTTGAGTCCAAAATGGCGGCGTGACTGTGCTACTCATCCTAAGTATCTGTCTCTATCTGACACCTATCAATTAGAGAGCACATGAGAAAAAAGTGCAGGTACATTTTCAAAAAAAAAAGTTTATTAACTCTCACAACAATTTTTTCTTCAAAAACAGTCAATGATCTTAGGTAAAGTATTATTCACTTCCATCAACAACTAAGATTTACCTCTGTTCAGTCAGTAAATGGCAACAAAAGTAGGTGCAAGTAAATTCAAATGTATGTTTTGAAGTTGTGGGAGTTTGCTTGTTTGTTTGCTGCAATGGCATGTGTAAATCTGGTCTTTCTTCCACCCAAAAAATAAATTCAACTGAGACACTTACTAGACACAGCAAGAGTCAATACAGCCTTTTCTCAGTGAGTTTCTTTGGTTTCTGCTCTGCAGTTTACTGTACAAATGTCGAAATTAAATGGACCTGGAAAGACTTATTAAAAGGGTATTTGTAGCAGAGCTGAAAACTTTGCTCACCCTTTCACAATGAACCAGAGAGAATTAGCTTGTTAATGTTCTGATTGATATGAAGTATCACCAATTGCTTATTCAATTGCTTATTGCATTTTTATTTATTCTCAGACCCGCCCACAATTCAAAATGTCACTACGTCATCTAAGAAATCTTGGATTGGCCAGACAGTGACTTTGAAGTGTCTTTCTGATGGTGTTCCTACACCAACACTCTCTTGGTACAAACCTGAAGGAAGTGAAATAAACAGAGTCACAGCCAGAGAAAACAAAGTACAAGTTCCACTCAGGGGTGATCAAGATTTTGGTCATTACAAGTGCATTGCTGCCAATGGACTTATTCCATCTGATGAGGAGTTAATAAAGATAAATCAGATAAGTAAGTAAATAAAGATCAGTCTATTTTGATTAGAGGAAAACTATATATAAGGGCAGCACTTTTCTTTGCCTTCACCCATTATCACTGTTTCAGGTGTATTAGAAGTACAGGCCAAATTTTCTTACAAGGCACTCGACAGAGTTACTCATTCACTTTGTGCATCTCATTTGATAGTTTAACATGCGTAGCTCATAGGTTTGTGGAAAAATATTAGCGTATGTTAAACCATCGAATAGGGGATTTATTCTTCTATTATTCTTTCATTTTCTAACAATTTGGCCGCTTAGTTTTCGGCATACATCCTACGGCCTTATCTGATCGTTCCGACTGCATTTTTCCCATCTTTAGCAGCGTTAGACCTTCACACATTTTTCGCATTCTTTACCCCAATGAGGTGTAACGGCGTAATACTGGAATTATGCCGGATATATAAAGCCTGATCTTTTAGTAGGAAATGCACCCATATTTGTAAAGATTAATATTAAACTGTCGACATCTTGCCTTGTGGTAGCATTAAACACGCTACAAAAGAGAGTTGAACTTCAGGCAGAATGGTGACATTCTCCCATGCGATTATTTGTAGGAAAGTTACTCAGCCATGGACTCGTAATTTTTCTTCTTTTTATTAGGCTCTTGGCTGAATTTATCCTGTAGCGACAAGTATATTCATAAATGTGTGATTATACAAGGACTTGCTATTATCCTAAGTATTTTGACAAAACTAATTATGAGGTAGTCACCAAAAATTTTCTCCTTTCTTAATTATTATTTTTTTTGCTCAAAATGATCTCTCTTTGTGGCACTATGTAGAGAAACCAGGGAAAGCATCCATCAAATCATCAGACATTCAAGCCACTTTTATAACAATACGGTGGACTGCGCCAACTGATGATGGAGGAAGTCCGATTACAGGATACCGACTGATCTTACAAAAGGGTGAAACTGAGATAGGAAATTATAGTATCACCGATCCTGGGACGACAACTTATTCGTTTCGTGGGTTGAAGAAATATACCAACTACACGGTGAAATTGTTTTCCAGAAATTTTGTATTCGAGGGAGATCCTACTGTAAGGACAATGAAGACCAAATTTGAAGGTGAGGAGTCACAAGTGATATCGTGACTGAGCACTTTATACCAATCATTTTTTTGCCAACTTAGATTTGTTTTGAGTAACCCAGTTTTAACATGGTTATCTGCTCGCCACATTGTAAGATTCTTTATTTTAAGTGTTTGTCCCCTCCTTATTGGCCAGTTTCCTTTCCCATTCTATTAGTTATTTTAGAGGTACCTACGTTTGAAGAAGCATAATAATAAATAGGCCACAGGTGAACGTATGTGAGAACAATAGACAACCCACGCGGTTATGTTCCGTAAATGCTACCGGTTTTATCAAGTATTGTTCGCCTTGTGTTTTTTTTGTTTTTGTTGTTGTTTTTTTTTTTTATGTTTACGTTTCATAACCTGTTGGTATAAATCGACAAAAATAAGTTGGTTGGATACAGTTTTCCTAAACTCTTACCGGCTATATTAAGAACGCCCGACTATCCCTTTTGACAGTTAAACGATTTTCACACATGGGCTGACCAAAGAATTGAAGTTTAAAGTAATGGGCCTTTCATGAAAATCGCTTTCGATATGCCAATATTATGGGGAAATCTCGTCAAACAGTTTGTGGACGGCCTCGAAGAATCCTCCGTATATTTTCTTTAAGTTGAAAAAAGTACGAGCGAAAAAAACGGATTACGAGTGAAAGAAGTCAAGCTTTAAGCTGCGACCTGATAAAATGGGAGATATTACAACGTACGATGAAAGCTGAAGATAGGTATTTGAAAAGCTAAACCACGAAATTAAACCTCTTGCTTATAATTACGGTGGATGGATATCATTTTCTTAAAATACATGCCAGCTATATTCAAAGCACTTGGAAAGAATCAAACCTCCATGGGCTCCATAGCTATCGGGATTTGCTGCTTAATTTATTGACTTTTTTTGCATACTTCTGCACCCGTACTTCGCAAACCTCCCATTGTCTTACACATGTAGTACTTCTTGTGTTAACGCCTGGTTTGTGTGAAATGATTTTCTTTCAAAACTATGTCACGGACTTGCAAATGAGCAGTTTCAGAGCCATTTCCAGTCGGTATTACCGTCAGTAAAATAATACTCCTCAGTATATATTGTCTATCAAGGCAAAGTGGCGGCATTTTTAAGATTCCCTTAGCTTGTTTTCATTTCTCAGGGATACGCCCAAACCAAAAAAATCGAGGTTGTCGTTTTCCGGAAAGTTGCTTTCGAACCTCATCCGCCACATATCTCACTCAAGAAAATAAAGTATTGTAGTAACAGGTGTGAATTTTGTAACTGAAGTTCAACAGCCGTAACATGGCTGCGAAGTTCGTCGCACCTGTGATCGCATTAGCGCTTCTTGCCATCGTATCTTATCAGTTAGCAAACCCCCTGGAGGAAAAACCCTGTTGGTTTGGCGGAAAAACCCGCGCCAGCTTATGTTCGCAGAAGAAGAATCGTAGCCCTGGACGCTCAAATGGCTCAAGAAGTGGAGCATGCGCACTAATTTTTCCGCTGTGTCATTGCCGAGTGCCTGTACTAAGTCATGTGCGATGGAAAACTTTGAAAAGCGAATTATAGTTGCACACGAACTGAAATATAGTTGCACGCGTTCCTTTCTGTAATTACGTGACACAAATTAATGACAAATTGCAACGTCGTCATTGCATCGGTCCTTCATTTGATTATGCGTAAGTAGCAATTAAAGGCCAGTAGAGGTCAGTGTATCATTCAAATTCACCTTGTAAATGCAGTCTTTGTTCTAGGCTACAACCGGCCATCATTTTAGGCTTCTCATTGTCACTTTCTGTCCTTTCAAATTATTTTGAACTCATCTCAATACTTAACTTAATTTTTCTTGTCATACACTTTCGCTTCAAAAGTATCCCAAAAAAATCCTCGACCAATTTACAGATTATTTAATCACTGATAAAATAAAACTCCAATAATTACACAATAAGTTGTATAATTATTAGGAATTTCACGCTGTTCGTGTCGTTGACATCAATCTAGGAGCCCCTGATGTGGTCGAAATAGACGTACTGCCAGATGAAACAACAGATGATACAATTACCCTAAGGTGGAAGGAGCCAGAAAGTAATGGGAAAAATATTACCATGTATACAGTGTACCAAAGAGTAGTGACTGATGGGAAAGTGGGACAGTGGACAGAAAGAAAGAAAATCAGAGATGTCTCTGCGAGAGAATTGAAAATAACGTTGGAGAGAGGAAAGGTGTATCAGTTTGCCATTACTGCAACTAATGAGCTTGGTGAAAGCCTGAAGCAAGAGGAATCAAATATCCAGGAAGTCAAGGCAGATGGAAGTATGTTCAAATGAATCTTATTTTCCCCTTTAGACAGTTTATCCTTTTCTTTACTTAATTTTCAAGCACTTTCCATGTCATCAACATCGAGGTTTTTACGGTTGAATTCTTCGCTTGCAAAAACCTAAATCAATGAGAAAACTTCACTTCCGTCGCAGTTGGTATTTGTGTGCTAACTAGAGGTCCATTGGCTGATGAACGAGAACTTTTTTTGCAACGGTTTTTGTTACTACATTTCAATTAACAAGTTAATTTGTGAACATATTCTTTTTAAACTTAATTCAATTTTTTCTTCGGTCAATTTCGCAAATGGCTCCCATGTTTCAAAGGGATTTAGGAAATAAGTTGACATAGATCGTATGTTAGGTTTCTTGCAAGAAGTTATTGGGATCGTTGGTTATTGTTTTATATAACTATAGCCTGGAAATTACAATGAAGTAACCAGTAATAAAAAAATCGAATAATTTCTTTGATTAAAATATTGAATGAAGAATTACAGCGTTAAGCTATTACGCCTTGTAAAGACTTCAATTTTCTAATTTTTTTGTGTTATGTAGAACCAAGTCCCACCAATGGTTCCCAGAGTAGTGCAGATAATGAAATGGACACTGCTATATATGCTGGAGCAGCTGCGGCCGGTGTTCTGCTTATTATTGGTGTAATCGTAATCATTATTCTGTGGAAACGAAGAAAGGTTTCAAGTCGCGAAAATGGTAAAGTATCTCTTCAATTTGTAACAGTTCATTTATATTTAAAGTTTTCTCTGAGTACCGGGCAAGATTGGATAAAATAGAAGTCTTAGAAGACCACTTGTAAGACTTGTTTGTCAGTCACACTATTTTACGGAAAAGACGTTTTAACCCTGTTTGATAGTGGAGACTTTCACTCATTGGAAACGAGTACATGTATTTCTGTGATTCAATGTGCAAAGGTACACTGCGACGTACTATAGTCGACATCGTTTGAAATTTACAATTTTTTTCACTGCAAAAAATTTGTTCTTCTCTTTAAGAATTTTTTCTCTTAATTTAATTATGTTTGTATTTGAAACAGACTGAAACAACTAAGCAAAATTTTCAGTGAAATTGCAGAGAAATCGGATTTTTCGAATCGAACATAAAATAGGTCTCACTTCAATACTATTAGCTTTGCCACACGAACGAAAACACAAATTTCGGGCTGAAAGTGAAAGATAAACAGAAATTTTGTAGGAATGTGAATTTGGGTGTTCAAGTTAAAAAAAAAAGGCTACTTTTTGTCGTTAATCGTAATGGACTCAACTCTCTCGTAAGCGGACACCCTCGGGAATCAGGAAAAGTGTCTGCGAGTAGAACTGTCCTCCTACGAAAATGACTCCCATAAGTGGACAGCAAAGAAGAATAGGAGTTGATGTCCGCTTAAGGGAGAAACAAGAGGGAAAGTAGACCATGACGAACGTGGCCATAACGTGACACTATAAATGTTATGTCAGACTCTTGTTTATAGGCACCTTAAGCAACAGACGTCGCCGGTCTCACGACGGCAACCGGAAACGTGAAATTTCTTTGCAGTCCTCACTGCGCATGTACAACACGTCTTGCCGTTGTCGCCGTTGTCGCCGTTGTCGCCGTTGTCGCCGTTGTCGCCGTTGTCGCCGTTGTCGCCGTTGTCGCCGTTGTCGCCGTTGTCCCGAAGTCGAGAACGCGAGAAAGTGGGGGTTCACGTCGCGACGAGAACCTGAGTACTTAAACTTTTGTTTTGATCGCTTTTAGCTTACTTTCGGACTAATTCAATCTGGAAGCAAGGTAACATGTAATGATTGATTTTATAATTGAAATAATGTTCTGCAAGCATTATTAGGTTCATTTTTTAAAATTGTTTTCGCAAGCCAAACTAGCTTCCAACGAAGAGGTTGCTTTCATTCAACGGAATAATTAGTTGTCTTTTCCGATTTTCTCATTGTATAACCGGTAGATTGTTATAGCTTGTAATAACACTTCAGTCATTTTTGTATTTCCTTCCTCCTGGCCTTTCTTTTAACATAGAAGCATGTTAAATCGACTTAAATTAATTTTTTATTTAGTTCATGTTCGCAATGAGACAAATACGCAGTTCTTGTACACACGAGAAGATTGCGTTCTTCGCACAAGGTTTTTTTTTCCCCGACACTTGAATCAAAATACCTGGCAAAAATAATGAGTATACAATTGATGGCAATTGATCGCTTTAACATTACACATATAACATGTAAAACAATTTCTGTCTTTGATAGGCCAAGGCAGAACGACTTTTATAAGCTTAATAGTTTGTAATTTTTCGTAATAATAATTTCAAAAGGGATGTGTCGATCATTAGAAAAGCTTTAATAGTATAAGGCTTGAATTCGTCGAGTTATTTTTCAAATATAGTGTATGTTTAACTCATGGATGGAGTGGACAGAACAAAAAGATGTCATGTTGGTCAGAGAAATCTTATTATGAGAACCCTTTAAATTCAAGGTTGGCTCCAAATAGCGTAGTTCGGCAAGGAGCCAAATAGCGCAAAATCTGTATACGCATCCAGGATTCACAGTATCTCAGAGAGCTGTCAGAGATCGTTACGTCGTAAAGAATGGCAAATTCATTTGCCTTTGTGACTCTTTTGATAAAGGAAACCAAAAGTAAATATCGCGTTTCCTTCAAGTTCGACATGACCGGACAAAGCGAAGAAATCGAGAGCTTTATTGTGAATTTTGAATTTACCACCAAATTTGCGAAGCTCGCTTGGCGCGGCGTCGCGTTTTTCGCACGCTTTGCTTAAGGATGGTAACTCGCAGTTGCGACCGCAACCTGAAACCGTTCTATCCCTAGTTCCTTATCGTTTGTCACGTCGCCGCCGTCAACGAAAACGTCTGTAGCTTAAGGTGCCTATTATCAAATGAACGGGCAGCTTGCTTTCCCGCGAACAAACGGAGATTTGACAAAACCAATCCCTACTGTATTGTTGCTCTGTCAAAGGTCAGATTTTTGTTGATTTGCAAGTTAAAAACAAATTTCTCTGCCAAGAGTCCAGAATTATGCATGGGGTGTCTGCTTACGAGAGAACATAAACAAAAGAAAATCCAATTTTCACCTCTTAAAATTGTCAGGGACTGTGGAGAGTGTCTGCTTGCGGAAATGTGTAAATACAAAGTTTTACTTGGAAAAAAGAAGTGGAATTGAAAAAAGTATTGGCAGGTAGAGCTGTCTGCTTACGAGAGCTTCCATTAGTGGAGAGTTGACTATATGTATACCGCTTTCTTTTCGGGCGGAATTTCGTAGGTTTTTTGTGAATGGACATTTGTTTACGCAACAGATCACTCAATACTCTCAGATGCTAAAAATTAATTTAGATCGTTTTTACAATACAAAGAAATTTCTCTCTTTTGTTTAAAAGAGCACATTTAAACCGAGAAGTTCTCGTAGCAAGTTTCCTTGTTTTGGTAGAACAATTTCAATTTCGAACTGCAAAATTATAACAATTTAAACTCTACAGTTCAACACCTACATAACAGATTAATGTGTTTTAAGAAGTGTGCAACAAGTTGCCTTGATAAATCTCTAATAACAAAGCGCGTGAGAAATCTAACCAATAAGAAAATGGTACATATATCCTTGTTAGACTATAGGTTATCAGATCAAGCTTTTAGAAACCGTTGCGCAAATAGAATGTACCGCGAGTCTGAGAGACATGTCAAGCTGCACGTTAAGCTGAGTTTTTTATCCACTCTATCGTTGAGGGTATTTTTGGATAGGGGAAATTTTCTGTTTAACTTACCAGTTCTGTTGTTTCAGTCTTCCTCTATTACCAAATATATGCGATCATGAGTTTGGTACTTAACCTTAATGTTATTTGTTAATGTATCCATTTTTTTAAGGTTATTTATTTATTTATTGTTTAATTTTATCCTAGATGAAATGCAAATGAATGGGCTGTAAGTACTGGAATAATAATGTGATTTTAACACTACTCTACCATGACTGTGAATATATGAAAATCATACATTTGAACTGTGGTTTAAGAAATGAATATGAAAGCGATCTTCGCAGTAATGAACGCTATTTTTGCAGTAGTGAAAATAAGGTGTGAAAACCCTCCCTCCCTCCCTGACCCCCCTCCCCCCCCTCTCTCTCTCTCTCTCTCTCTCTCTCTCTCTCTCTCTCTCTCTCTCTCTCTCTCTCTCTCTCTCTCTCTCTCTCTCTCTCTCTCTCTCCGGACGACGATCTCCGGACGACGAGGAGTTTATTACTTTACTATAACTTTACTAGGAACGAAACATCAGAATAATGCAAAAGACATGTTTGAAGATTTGTTCTGATTTGATGGCAGGGGTAGTGCTAATCATTATGAAGTTGACGATGGATATCAGGAGGCTGCTGCGAGTCTTCAAGCCTCGGCTCCTGAGGCTGAGGCTAACTATGCACAGGTGGATATGACGAAAAAGAAGAAGAATAGACGGCCACTAGCTGATGAATATGCCCAAGTGGACAAGTCGAAAAAGACAAAGAAGAGACCCAAGGTAACGATGACATCGAGAAAGGTGTTGTGTCATTGTTGCTGTACTTTTGGTAGCACGTTTTTTTTTTTTTTGACGTTGCGCAGTTCCTTGTCTGAACTTATTTTAGTGGAGGATAGGCTTTTCGTGTAATCTTTCTTAACCTAACCCTAACCCCTCATCTCGTACTTTGATTTTCCTTGGTTATGCAGAGAAATGATGAATTATTTTCCATTTGGTTTAAAAGTGATATAAACTCCAGTTATTAAAATCTAATTTTTGTGCTGTTCTCTTGCCTCCCTATTTGGAGGCATAGTGCGCGATTTAAAGCAAATTTTTTTCGATCTCGTGGTGACTAATTATTTAAAGTGCCTATGACACGATTTTTTTTTTTTTTTTTTTTTTGGCGTTTTCTGGTTAACAGCTGTATTTAAGATTTTTAAGATTAAGATAGTTCCCTTTGACCATTTTTTTGCGCTTTGAAAGTACGATTTGGCGGCCAAAAGGAATTTCCATTTAGCGCGCGGCCCAAACAATGATGTTAAGTAGCCGTGACGTAGTAAATTGTGAAGACACGCCAGCAATTATGGAGGAGAAACGAGAAACCAAGAAGAGAGGACGAACGTATTGCGTGGCTGGAGCGCCAAATGATGTTAGGTACAAGAATAATACACTCACACCGGGTATTTCTATGCGCTACCTTCCAAAGTATGTCCCGGCTTTGAAGGCTTCGAACACATACCACTGGTCAAATCAGAGGAAGATGACCAATACATTCAGCAAAAAAATGGCTACTTTAAGAGCCTGTTCCCCTACCGGACACGATTGTTCCACAATCTGTTCGGCTGACTTTTCGCAAGCGAAGAATGGTGAGCGTCATACTGTTATTTATTTCACGCGCTTGAGATGTACACAGTACTCTCTTGTCTTGGCAACGCGGTTTTAAGTTTCTCATTGCAGCCTTGTAGCATGGTTCCTAGGATAACGTAACAACCTTCCCCGACCCAGGTTCCAGGATGTGCGGTCGTGAACTTAAAAAATTGAGCTTTAACTGCTTTTAGAATTGTCAGGTTTTGTTTAGTTGCCATAATTATTTCATTGTGATGATCAGTCAAACAAGGAAATTTCTTTGATCGACATTCATTTTGGGGGTTAGAGCACTTTAAACAACAAGGAAAACTGCGCATGCCGTTGTAGAGCTTGTCAGACTTTGGTCGTTTATAGCAGAGAAATAGCCAAAAGGTAGTAATGTAACTCTGTGGGTAGGAATAACCTGGGTACTGCCACTGAGGGCTCAAACCAGAGAACTGCCATCAGGGCATCTGTATTTGAGCTAATCTTGACAAATGCATATTATTTAATCTTTCGCTACCAAACTGAAGGCACTAATGTACAGGTCATTAGATAGGCCAGGAACATAGGTATTGGAGAACGACACGTTTTCCTGTCGTAGACCTCTTGAGACTCTTGACGATCCGAAAAGACCGTAATAGGCACGTATAATAATAGAATCTACTGCGTTAGCGTTACAATATTAAATACCTGAGAGATTTTGTATCGCTAGTAGAGAGGAACATGATTTTCGTTATTTAAGATGCTGAAGCGTTGTTAGAAACTGGACCGTGTTAAATTATTACTTGGGTTGACCAAACAAGTTTAAATTCACTCTTATACATTGATCGACCAAAGTAGGCACTTATTTAGCTGGCTGCGTCCAGTAGCGTGTATGACGACATTGTAACCTTCCTAGAAGGCTTCAGCGGCACATACCCTTACTTAGGGCGAATGCCTATATGCCAGTGACCAAAAAGGTACAAATACGGTATTTACGGTACATAAAGTGACACCAAAATCCAGTGATATTTTCAGTAGATACAGAAATGAATTGTTGGGCGTCTTATCGTGTGGCCCGCGAGAGGAATAGAGCGAGTAAGCAAACGGCACCAATGATCTCGGAACGTATCCGCCTGCTTAGTGTCCATCGTTCTGTGAGGCAAAGAAGCATAGCTGTACTTTTGATACCTAAATAACCGTTAAGTTTACCAGTATTTGATCGTCCAATGTTGTTGTTCGGCGGCGTTGTAGAAAAAGTTGTTCTTCACCTTAACCATAAACTGCAAGCTTTGTCTTTAACTTCTAATACCTCGTCTAAATTAATGACACCGTGACGTTTGTTTAGCGTTTGTTTATCAGGTCAGTAAGCAAATCGTAGGATATCACAACACTGGACATGGCTTTCTAGTTGCGAATTTGGGTACAGTAAACTGTAGTGAATGGAAAGTATCATTCGAATCATTTTTGTGGCCACTGCTTCCTGTATAATTTGAGGTGAAACCACTTTGTTGTTGGATCAGTGATTGAGTGAGTGAGGGTAAGTAACAATGGAAGCCGAACTTCACCCGATTTGACACAATGTCACTTATTGTTTCTTTTGTAGTTCGACATTCACATTAGAGATTATTAGGCGCAATATACACTAAAGAAAGAAAAAAGCGTTTGAAACAAGTTAATTTGTGCCTAACAACACCCAAGATATGATTTTCTTAGTAGTTGCCGTCACGCTACATTCAAAAACACTTCATCATGGTTTCTCGCCCGCGCGATAAACAAACTGAAACTTTTCCGTGTAGAAGAAAACCAGGAAATGTGATCAGCGTATCATAGAATCTTTGAAAACAAATTTACCTTCGAAAATAGATAATGTTACTGTTTAAATTAGCGAACTGTTTCCAACAGAACCGAAGAAATGATGTTTTTAGTGCTTGCCGCGACACTACAGAAGACAAACATTCTTTTACAAAGGCCTCTCGCGGACGCCTGATAAACAAAATAAACTTTTCTCTGCAGAAAGGTGTACAAGGTGCGATCGGAGCATAATGACAACCTCTATTTCTGTTCAATGCTACAGAAAATTGACATATCAGACGCCACATGTAGTCTCAGACTGCCTATCTTTTCCTTTCGACAGAGACCCGGGGAGCTTGATTATGCTGAGTTGGATGAGTTTAGAAGACATGACGCCGGGCATGCCCCTGGACCATCTGGTGCTAGTGCAGCTGCAGTTGTTCGTCCTCCAGCGTACGAAGGAACTGAATACGCTGACATAACACAGTTTGGTGTCCCTCAGCCTGATCCTACATATGCTAACGTTTCTGGAGGGGACGTAACGTATTCTAATATGCAGAGCATGTGAGTTTTTCCGAAAACCACAAAACCTTGTAAACTTTGTCAGTCTCATTCTATCACACTTGGCTGACTTTGAAGTACAGTATTGGACGGTCCGCACTCTGTCACACAAACCTTAAAAGAATATCTGGCTGACAGATATTGTTATCTTTAGCTGTCTTTGTTTAGTATTTTTTCTTTATCATTTACCACTTTTCACTTAATATGGTTTGGGTAATGCTGCTGTTAAATTCTGAGGGGAAAGTTTGGGCTCAGCCGTATTCAGTAACGGCATTGTCGTTATTGTTTAATTACTATCAATTTTAAGTTTTCGAAATAAAAACGCCACGTGTTTTAATATATATTTGAGCAGACTATAGCTGTCGAATGTCTTCGTTTCCTTTAGACTTCGCACATAAAGTGGAAGAGTTGATCAATTGTAGTTAAGAGTCCACATTATTTTTTCTACTGAAATTTTCCGTTTCTATTTACTTATTCAGAGCTTGAGACCTGAAGTTAGTGACTGTTTAGTGTGAGAGGAAAGACCGTCCAAGACTTCAACTTTAATCTGTCTGTACCGCACCGTAAACTTTACCGTCTTAGTCAAAATAGCAATAGGTTAAACATATTAAATTTTAAGAGACGTTTCCACTAAAGAGTCGCTCGTGTAGTCGCCTAGTTCTCATTAAAGCAGGTGCACGTTGTGCCATTATAATCTTTATTTTTGTCAAAAGTGAGATATATACATCACCTCTGATTTAGTTAATAAGAATTTTAAAATTTACATATATATTTAGTAGATTTGCGAAGAAGTTAATGTAAGTGGATGTAGATTAAATTAAGAGACGTTTCCACTGAAGAGTCACTCGTGTAGTCGCCTAGTTCTTATTAAAGCAGGTGCACGTTGTGCCATGATCTTTATTTTTGTCAGTAGTGAGATATATACATCGCCTCTCATCAAGCTAGGAAGAATTTTAAAATTTACATATATTTTTAGTAGATTTGCAAAGAAGTTATTGTAAATTAATGTTTTTGTAATACCCTTGACTATATAGCATGTGCAATCGTGAGAGGTTGATTAGTTACTGACTATGACGACGATAGTCTTTGTATTTTGTATTTTTTATATAGAGTTTAAATGACAATTTTTATAATAGATGATAATTTTGTAACTTTCAAATATGGTTCCGCCATAGGCTACTCAGGCAATTCTTGTCTTTTGTTAGTGAAATCCATCAAATTTTTAGAGAGTGATTTAAGAAGAGTTTATATAGAGTTTACATGACAATTTTTACAATAGATTATAATTATGTAACTTTCAAATATGGTTCCGCTATAGGCTACTCAAGCAATTGTTATCTTTTGTAAGTGAAATCGATCAAATTTGTTTAGAGTGATTTAAGAATTAGATAATTTGCTATATTTGCTGAATAGTTGGCTTTGCTTATTTTAATGCCGAGAAATGACTGTATTTTTACATTTGACATAGCACAAATAAAATATGAATGAATTTATAAATTGTTCATTGTGCAACTACAAATCGACTTGTCTTCAATTACTTTCCTAGACAAGTTTGAGACACATAAAATACCCGTAATACTTACCAATCTCGTCAAGGCCATTTTTGTGCTTACGTTAGGTACATCTAGCTTGTTCCTCAGTGACAGTTTGGTTGCTGTTTTCTTCCTGCCGCTTTGTTTTCGTCATTGTTTTGACCAGGATGGTTGGAGCACTGCTATAAAAGTATTACCATCGGTGTGAGATTCTGAGTTCTTGATCACGTGTTTCGCTGCCCTTCTCGTCCGATTTTCCATCTGCTTACTCTTCTCAGTCTCATTACTTGAAATACGCCTCTGGTTTTTGTGTTGAAGGGCTATTTGTTCAACTTTATAAGGTTGGGTGAATTTTCTATACCCTTAAATAGTGGTTTAAGTAATCTTCACAGTCCTTGTTTGATCAAATCACGCAACGAGGGAGAAAGCGCGTGGAGTGGTGAGACCAAACAGCTGCTGCAAAGGTGGTTATGCTTGGAGTAAACTTTGTGAAATGACATAAAGTATTTAGTTTTGTCGTTGTGGTATCTTTGAAATGGGAATTTACCGTGGTAACATTTAAAGACGAGCAGATATTTGAGTTTTTTACTTAAAACTGAGGTTATAGCTTTCCTCAATTCGAAGCGAGCTTTCGTCATTAAAGAATATTTTGCCTGCAGTAGACTGATTAAGATAAGAAACGATCACAAGTCTAATCTTAAATTGTTTCCGTCCACATTGCTAGTCCCCTAATAATTTTTTTTCCTCTATGCAGTTTTTCGCGGAAGTTGGACTTAAAATCCATGAAAGCTTTTTGGTTTGTCCAAGGGTAGGCTGCAAAAAATCAGGCCTCTATATGATTCAAATCACAGAAGCCGGAAGATTTTGTTCAGTGACGAAAGGTGAATTTTTCTGACCTGAGTTTAATGTCAGTAATAAACAACACGAAGAGCAATCATGACCTCATTATTCATTAATAGGTGGAAAATTCAGTTCATTTCAGTCTTAAGCATTTCAGCTATGTGCACCACTTTTCATGAAACGCTGACGGCTACCTTGAATTTAATAAATTAGATCATTGACCAGGGGAAAAAAATAGATTCTCTCCCTCCCCATCTCTCACACGATTTTCGGGACCAAATCATAAATCGTTGGAATCAAACTAGCAGAAGTAAATTATTAATATAGAAGAGGAGGGGCTAAGTCGTGAGCCTGAGACGCGGTGGCCCAACAGTTACCTGTTTGAGACAAGGATGAGTTATTCTCGGTGAAGGATGTTGAAGTTAAAGTATTATCAACTACATTTACCAAGCAGCCAACTGAAACAAAGTTTAATAGTAGTCGCACTTCCTTGAATCTAAATCAGGATTTCCACTTCCAAGAAAAATTTTCAAATTCTGATGTAGATAAAAATACGTGAAAGTCCATCAAGGGACATCTTGTATTCTTTTTCACTCTGGGTTTATTTATGTGTTTCGAGTGAAAAATATTTCAATCTTTCAGCAGCTTTAATGATTAATGTGATCAGAAAGTATTTATCAATGATTGGTTAATTCCTAAACTCCAATATGATGCGCTTGACTGATGTAAGGGGTAGTGATTTCATCCATCAACGTAAAATTAGTGATAACCGTTTGGGTCATTTCTAATTTCTTTAAGATACACATGGAAACCATATAACTTTTTTTTCTGTCATTCAAAAGTATATATAAAAGTATAACTTCAACCTCGTTTTCATATTTTCATAGGTAACTAAACAGCACAAAAATTACCTTGAAATGAACTAAAAATTCGACAATAGATGCCGCTGCTTGGAAAAAAACAAACAAACAAACAAACAAACCAGCAACCTTGCTGCACATGTGTGATATCCTATGATTCAACTAAAATGGCGGGAAGCACAAAAGCCAGTTCACAAAGAGCTGTTGTTTTAGTTATCGCAAAATATCATTATAGAGAGACGAGTCACGTTTTTCATGAGTAGGTAGCTCCTAATTGTTCAGAATAATCTCTGAGGAATGGAAAGCAACAAGGTTTCTAAGCAAGATTCAGAACAGCGGCGTCCGTCGTCAAATTTTTAGCACATTACAAGAAATCTTTTTTTTAAATGTAACTTTACTTTTCTGAGAACAGACCCTTGAGGTCAACCGCCTGGTAAAAAATCTTGGATTTCAATAACTCAGTGAATGTCTGAATTACTCTTAAGCCTGTTAATTTGGAGATAATGATTAAACGCCGTTTCCGACGCTTGGACAATTCCACACAACCACTTCTAATTACGAGCAGCTTTTTCTTTTTTTTTTTTTTTCGAATAGTCGGGGTAGGAAGGTGCTTGTCATTGGAGTGGGTTAAAGTACAACAAGGAAACCCAAACTTCCGAATGCTTAGACGCGCTATTTGATTTAGGCAAGGCAACCAGAGGAGCAGACCTCCCTTTTTTACCACCACCACACAAAAACACCTGAGAGGCTCTTTCAATCGTATATTTGCTTGATCAACATTTCGAACCACCTTCTGGTGTTTTAGGGGTGCCTAGTACACTACCCACTTTAATAAATGTGAATATCTTCGATATTTTAGCCATTTCACCTAAAATACTTTGCAGCAAGATTCATCTCGCACGATTTCAAAATCCACGTGAACGATAAAGTTAATGAAAGCACGAGTAGCGAAGCAAACAACATCCGAAAAGCATTTGAAACTAAAGAAACAAACAACATTTAGAAAAAACGTGAGTCTCAAAAATATTAGCTCTTGAAACTCAAAAGTTTCTACTAAGCGTAAAAGTAAACTTTCTAAAAGTCACTTCTGGAGTAACGACCCACGTGAAATTAAGCAGCTCGATTTGAATCGTGAGTGCTTAGAAGCTCATTTGCCAGCGTCAGCGGATCTATCTTGAGTTGTTTTAAGTTTCACAGTATTTCTGAAAGCAAATTCCTTGGGTTTCAAAGTGTACAAATCTACGATAGGCGTTTCCAGCTCAACTCATTCATGAGGCCGGCCTATAGTCTTCGAAAATTGCTGGAAATAGGTCTATTTCCAGATATTTTGCAATAATTTATACGACGCACCACTTGATAAATAACGAAATTGGCAAATTTCAACAAGTAAGCTATATAGGTAAAGTTAAAAACAAGGGTATTCTTGGGTATCATGATAAATCAGGGGCATCGAGGGGCTAATCAACAAAATATCTCAGGGTCCTCTTTAAACTATGTGGGTGACTACAGGATACCTGTAAATTTCTTTTATCCTGATTTCTCCTTATCGCGTACGAGCAGCCACCTGGTACAGGCTGAACCCAATAGACAACTTTACTCGCCACCCATTGATATGGATGGTCATGACCAAGATTTCCCCAAACATTTGCCTCAAATACAATGGCATTACAGGGTTAAATTCAATTGTAGTTATAAGCAAATAAAGGCGTAACAGTTAACAACTTCTTCTTTATTGATTCAACAACATATTCACTTTCTTCATACCGTTCCTTTTCAGTATGAACACAGATATATTTGAGAATAAAAATGCAGCTGTAGCACCCAGTATACTTCTTATAACTACATCTGAAACTCGGTCAGAGATTGCGAAAGTTACTCCAGGTAAATCTCTTTATTTATTCCCTTACAATCTTTCCTTTGTCGGTTTAAGTTGATACATTGGCCTGGTAACTGTATATGTCTTGTTCTCGTTAGATTTAGCTCAATGCTATGCCGACCACTCTCCTGAGAGACTGGTTGGTAGCACATTTTCATAAAACAGCTCCTCCAAGTTGACATATTCCTAAGTGTAAGAAAATAGAAAGACACAATTTAAAACAAATACAGTCACGTTTACCAAAACTTTAACTAGATAGCATGCTTAATGGCTTTGACAAAACTGAAAATGAATTATCTTAAACATAAAGACCTAAAGAGATATCTCACACATTGACGAACCTAAGCTCTTTAAACAAACATTTCATTTCTGACCTGTTCTTCGTCCTGGATCATGCTATGTAATAGTGACCGTAAACCCTCAAAGTCTGGCCTTTGTAAGGGTTCGGTCTTCCAGCATTCCATCATGATATCGTAACTGTTTGAAAAAAACGTTGGTCGGTGACACAATTTAAATTTGCTACTTTTCTTTCTTGTCTATCTATTTATTAATGTGTCAACAATACACATGTTTACCACAAAGGCATACATCTTATTATAATTTCTCTTGAGGCGAAGAGCCCCCATACTGCTCACAACCCAGAACAACCTGACTATCATCGATAAGTGCGGATGTGTAGCAGATAATAATTTTCATTTGCTCGAGATTTCTTTTGGCTATTGGTGCCACTTGCTAAACTTTCTCAAAATTGCCCTCATTGATACGTACTTTTAAACCAATGCGAAACAGTAAAAGGTCTGTTTATTTTGTCCAACATAGGCAAAAATCATTGTAGTCTCTCAAAATATAATGAACATTAGATATTTTGAATACAAGCGTTTAAGAAGCAAAGAATGGTATTTTCCTTTTAGCTGGTGTTCGTCGTAACTTTTTTGTCCGTTATGACAGCTTTTGAATGCCAAAACAAATGTAACGGTCGCGTCCCGCTCGGTGTTTGTAACTAAAATAATAATCTCGGCCTCAACCCTCAACTGAAATGCAATGGAGGGGGGAGGGGGGGGGACAGAAAAGTTGAGCATCACAGGCGTTGCTGTTTGAACTACCCTGACCATCTGTTTTACAATGACAGCTACTCACAGCGTTGCACTGACAAATTTTGGGCGTGACATCCTGAACCCATTCCTCAACAGCGCGGGGATATCTCTCATATACACCCCCGGGAACGGGTCCCCACCTGTGAGAAATTGTCAAAGGGAAAGTAAGAATTGCGTTATCTTTATTAGCCAGAAATTATCTGAGACATATTTGTAAATCTGAAGAAGTGTAATTCGTCTGTACATAGGCAAAAGTAATCAAATGTCGCAAGCTGTGGACAGGAGCTGTATAGGGATACATGATGTCAAAAAAGAAGTTTGTTTGAGAGAATCCCTGAGACCTTACGACCTGTTTTTCTTCTAATATGTTTCTTTTCTCTCTTTCTTCTCTTGTCTTTTTTTGTGGGCTGGTTGCTTATAACCTGGCTTATATCGAAAACGAAATCATGTAGCGAAAATGCTAGTTAACCATTAAGCTGCCAGCATCTCTACATTCAGCCAAAGGAACAGTGGCTTGAGCTTACCTTTTAAAATTGAGTTCTATATTTTTCATTTCAACGTACCTACAGTGAAGATCTCGTACATCACCACACCAAAGCTCCACCTGAGTTTGAGTAATGACAAAAACTCGGAATTATTCAATATTCTTGCCTCATTTGAATACTTGGATGTTCATACCGTGAACGAAGCTAATTAAAATATATTTTGCTGGTGACTTCGTTCTTTTGTAAATTTCGATACATGAAAATCAAATAACGAAAACGCGGTTTTGATGGGAACTACGAGAAAATTTAACTTAATAATTGAAATTGGTCTCAAAGAAATTTGCCAAAACTATTTCACGAAAAATAATTCGTTGAAACGAAATTTACACAAAAACATAATGGGTTGATCATTTTATCGTATTTCCTCGTAACTTAGATTCCCTAGACCCTGGCATCTCCCTATGTTCAAACTCAAAATATTGTCGCTGAGTTTATTTCGGAAAAATTATCAATATGTCCTGGTGATATTTGCTCGACTGTTTATGAATAGAGTGTAGAAAAGACAAAACAAACTCACACATCACTCTGAGTAGTATATGCACCATCTCCAAACAGAGCCTCAGCTGCCGTCCACTTAATCGGAAGACGGCCCTGTAGTCAAGGATCAAGAAAAAAAAACTAGCTTGAAAAGTGCACTCTTTAATCCAACTGCTCGGATACTGGTAGAATAAAATATGTCATAAAGAAGTACCTCGTGGGTTCGCACATATATGTCTTCTTCCCAGACATCTCTGGCCATTCCAAAATCCGTGATTTTGCAAACGTCTTCGTCACCAACCAAAACATTTCTTGCGGCCAAGTCGCGATGAATGATCTAACGACAAAAAACAAAATTATACATTTCTACAGTGATCGTTCGTTACAAAGTAACTTTATGACTTTATTTTCGGAATACTCTCCAGCTGTCCCATAAAAAATCAACAGCGAATTTATTACCTTTCTCTTGGACAAGTAGTCCATTCCATCACTGATCTGCCATGCGAACCTAAGTAGCTGCTTGGAAGTGAGGCTGGTGCGGGGCTCTACCGAAGGATCACTGTAGTAGTTATCTCGGACTCCTCGGCTCTTCCTCAGGTACCCAAGCAAGTCACCATACTGCGCATACTCGACCACTACGAGCGGCCGTGCTAATATAAGATAAATTTTACCTTAGCTGAGGAATCTTCAATTGATATATTCTGGTTATCAACTTAATCTTGTTGTGTTCGTTACAAAGTAAGGTAAACTGATCGTGTTGATGATCTACCGGATTTCTACGAGGTTTCAATAACTGTTGCACAAAGTACTAACACACCATAGTTCCAGATATTTGAAAGTAAGCCATTACCTCGCCTCGGCATACATAGACGTATGTAAGGATGACGTAACAACCAACCAATGCATCTCTTAATCAATATCTATCTTATCTTTAAAAGTGACGTTAACAGCGATATAGATGGAGGCATTTTTAACAATACGACATGTACAAACAGACGTCACATTCGAAAGTGACACTGACAGCAGACGGGTTCGCAACACAAAGGTAGGTTTGACAGCAATGATGTGTCTGCCTTAAGCTCACCTTCAGTAGTAACACAGCCGTACAGGCGAATGACGTGAGGATGAGGATCAAGGTGCTTAAGGACTGACATCTCTGACAACAGGTCTAACTTCTCTTTTTCTGAAGCATCATCTTTATAAACACCGACAGAACAAAACGTCACTCTAATCTGTCTAACATCAAATTAATACTAAGAACATCTGACTTCTTTACAGCTCCACTTAGATCATATCTGATGGTCAGCAAAACGTAATTTTCACTTACTCACGTTGACCCATATTATCTCATGTTTATGATATCGATATTATTTAGATCAAGGCTATATGATTCTAAACAAAACATGTAATTCTCAACTTCTCAGAGTTCTTGGTTTAAAGTCCTTTGTTACCAACAAACAATTTAAGCATCTAAGATTAAAAAGTTGTTTTTTGTTTTTACATAAAATAGAAGATTAAAATAAAACCTTGGACACTCTTCACCGCTACAACAGTCCATCCTGGTTTTCCTGGCAAATCCAGCGCCAAGCCTCTTGACACCACGCCAAATGCACCACGCCCAATAATTTTCTCTACATTCAACCTTGCTCGCGGTATTTCCCATTCAGGATCACCGGAGAACGATAAGTTGTAAGCTCCATGTCGAACAAGTTCATTAGCTTGCGAGGACTCTCTGGTGGTTAACAAGGTCACTTTTTGGTCAAATTTTAAAGGCAAAAACAGTTTAGAATGTATAATTCAGTATAGAGTTAATAAATACATACATGTGGTTCTCATCGGCTTCTTCACCTGAAATAGTAAAATTAATTTACGTTACTTACAGCATTATTAACTAACAGTATCTACATAAAACAGCATGTATCAGTGATGTCAAACTACATTCATTTAGCCAGCTGTGAATCTGATATTTACTCACATCCTCGTTGATTGTTGTTTCCTCTGGTTCTTTTAGCCACATGTCGTTGGATGAGAAACGCGAAAATGGTAATCACGGCTAAGGCCGCTGTTATAGACAGGTATTTGGTAAGTGTCTCTTTGTCCCCTGTTTGAGAGAGAAATGTTCTCTTACGCTCTTACTTTACAGGATAATCTAATCTGTATTAAGGCCCATGGAGGAAAAGCACAAAGTGTTTTTTTACACTGATAATATAGATATTTTAACTGGAGTTATGTAATGTTCAAGTATGGCTATAATCTGAAATGTATCGAATGAAAAAAATAGTGCCCTGTTGTCTTCCCCTGTTTCTGCTTCTCTTAATCGCTGATGCTTTCTTTTCACGCCTAAACATTC